AGGGTATGTGGGGTGAGGGTTATCAACCATGTTACCTTTACTCACCATTATAGACCTAGAGCCCTGCTCACGCCCTATTGCAGAGCAGGGGTTCAGACAATAGTTGCTGAATGAGTGAACTACATGGAAACCCTTCTAACCCTGCATTTGCTCTTAACAGAGTCTTGAACATGACTCATCGGACCTACCCACCGGGTAGAGTGAAACGGCACAGTCAGACCTTGTGATCTGAAACCCAATGTGCCAGGCAGCTCAGGCATCCTCTGAAGTTGGCTGCCACTCTGAAGCTCCCGGTGTCCTTGGTAAACTGTCTTAGTAGCTTTTTCTAGCTCCCCTTTCTTATGCTGTTGTGTGTGGCCAGTCAATGGAGCTTGTTGTCATTTTCTACAGTCGCTGCATTTGCAACCAGTCTCTGTGGGCCATAGGCCTTCCTCATCTCCAAATCTTAAATCCACTTGTTCATTTCTGAAGAGGCATCAGCTTTTGGAGTGAACAGGGAAAAAGTCTGAGCAGCCAGTGGGCGCCACTTGCCCTCAACAAGATGGTGGGGAAGGGCCAGCTGGCTCTGTGACCTTGGGCAGGGTGACCTCAATCACTTCATCTCTCCATGCCTCGTGTCTGGGGCCCTCTCAGATCTTTAATAACCTGTCGATACATGGGGATGGCTCTGGTGGAGGTGGAGTGATTTTTAAGTTGTTATGTGCTTCCCAGGGAAATTGTAGCTGTTTTCATTTTAAAAATTTTCATTTAAGCTCCGGTTCCGAGTGTAAAAACAGCACTAGCTACAAGGAATTCATATTTTGTGATTTATGGGGAGTATTATTATGGTATCAGAAAAGGGTAGTTTTTTTGTTAAATATGTTTTTAAAAGGCTTGCTGCATTCTTAAGCATGGTTTTATTATATCTTTAAGCGACTTTTTCTCCCCCATGAAGAATATACCTGTGATTTATAATGTGCCTTCACTACTAGAGCTGGGTGAGAGCATATTCTGTAGTGTTACATCATCCCCAAAGACTGCTCTGGCTGTAGGCGCTTCCAGGCTCCTAAGCGTAGTGCAAAAGCTGGGTTGTTAAGTTCTTTCTAGAAACCAGGACTGCTGGAGATTAGCCATATCTATGTCCAGTCACACAGGGAGGAGTTGGGGAGAAAGAGGGGTGTATGGATGTCCTAACCCAACTCCTTTGTCATTTACAAAAAGGAAATGGGGACCCAGAGTGGAGAAGTGAATTCCCCAAAGTAAACTGCCCAGCCCAGGGTTTCTGTGTCTGCCCCTTACCTAGCCCATATGCCTTGCAGGTCCTCCAAGTGTAAACATTGTTTCACTCACCCAACCATACTGCTGGTGCCTGGAGTTGGTGCTTTCCTTAGGCCTTTCCTTGTTTTCATATACCTCCTGGTGGAAGGGCCACAGCTGACTCAGCATTCCAACCAGCATGCTCTGGCTTGGACGCCCCTCCCCCACTAGCTAGGTGCTAACGTCCAGCAGAGAGTTTATTGGCATAATTTCTCCAGAAAAGAGGCTGGAAGACTTAGCAAGTTCAAATGTAAGCATTTTTATCAACCGTCCCCAAGGGCCAGCCTTCCCGTCACCACCACCAACCCAATAAGGCTTTCATAGTCATAGGAAATCAGGTTGTACAAAGCAGCAATAGCACAGGCCAAATGAGCAGGCACATGATACATTACCGAATCAACTGAGCAAGCAACCACCTGGAAGCCATCTTTGTTAAGGGCAAAATAAGAAGCTCACAAAGATACAGGAATGACTGGACTGTCTTGGTTCTTCGGGAGGAATGAGGGATGGGGTACTTTCCTTTTCTGTTTTCTCAGAAAACATGCAAAGAAAGGCTTCACAAACAACTAGGGTCACACCAGCATCTCCCAAACTTCCCTTTGCAAAGATGGCCACCCCTGCTGTCCGCTTGAAGGAGCACATGGCAGGATCTATTGGGTGTGGAGAGAGGTAGGCAGCAGGAGAGAGATAGTTTTCCACAAAGGTTGTTAGATTTTTTTTTTTCCTTTATTGATGGGATTTAAAGTGCATATAACTGAAGGCAAAGTCCAAGGCCTAGAGGAAGATATGAGGCTTGAGAAAGAGGCTCAGAGATTCTAAAGGCAGCCGAAGAATACCCACCTAAAAAGGCCACTTGAGCTGCAAAAAACGAAAGGGCAGGGAGACAGAAAACAGGGAAGAGGAAAGGGTTGGTTGGGAGGAAGGAGTTTGGGAGGAGGAAGAAGACAAACACTAGTTCAGAAATCCTGCCAAAGGTGACTTGGAGGAGCTACTTTCCACCCCAGCTATGAAAACATGGGCTGACCTCCAGGGACGAAAACTTGCCTCAGGAGATGTGAGAAGCATGGAAACCACAAAACCAGGACACAACACCCCAGGGCCCCTCAGGTGGGGTAGGAGTGATGGAGCCTCTCCAAGCCTGACAGGTCTCCTCTGAAGAACTATTGTGAGTCTAAGAGGCTCTGTCAATTTAGGGGAAGCAGGGCCTAAGGGCCATGGTCTAGAGCCCACCTAGGACCCCTGCACTCCCCAGGACAAGGCGTATTTCCTCTGCTACTGAATGTGGCCAGAGTTCCACTTACCCACACAGGCTGTGCCATCCTCATTGGGCTCATAACCCCGACTGCATCTCTTATTGGTCCGGCATCTGTAGCTTCCATAAGTGTTGACACACACAGGCTTGTCTCGAGGACATACGAATGGGAACTGGATGCATTCGTTGGTGTCTGCAAGACAAGAGGAGCCACTCACCAGGGAGAGGTGGGCAGTGTGTCCTAGCTCAGGATCTGTCTGCCCGCCTGCCTGACCCTGGGCATGTCCCTGCTCCTTGCTGGGCCTGCCTTTCTACTTCGGTGCCCTTGGATAGCTTCTCCTGTCCTTGACCACTACATATTGGGAGAGCTCAGGCTTGGTCCTGGGCCCTTTTGATACACTACAATTTCTCTTTAAATGTGGGTCACTGTGAACTTCCTGCCTCCAGCCATAACCTCTCCTTTGGGCTTCAAGCTTGTGAATCCAATCACCAATGACATATATGGCAGTTCCACTTGGATGTCTAACACAAACTCAGACTGATCATTTCCAAAATGGAACTCTGATTTCCCTCAGCCCTCAAGTCTCTTCTGTCCCCTGTTTGCATCTTCCACAGCTCCGTCAATGCCACCACCACCTGCTCAGACACACCAGCAGAAATCAGTCATCTCCCCATCCTCCCCTTTCCTCATCCCAGGGTGCAATCCACTCTGTCCCAAAACGCGCCTCTCATCTGTCCACCTTCCTCACTGCCACCACCCTAGGCCCAGCCCACATGGTCTCTTGCCTGGATTTCTGCAGCGGCTGCCTTACAGGCCTCCTGGCTTCCATGCTTCCCTCCAATCCAGCCTGTAATTCAGCAGCCAGAGCGATCTTTTAAAAATGTGAATCGCATCAGGTCACTCTCCTGCTTAGCTTCCAAGGGCCTAAGAACAAAGTCCAGACTCCTTCTGGAGCTTCAAGCCTCTCCTTGACCAACTGTGCTACCCCTCTGCCTCCTCTCAGCCATAATGACACCCCTGATAGCCCTGTGGCAAGATCGTGCCCTTTGCCTTTGTTCTTCCTCTGCCAGGAAAGCTCTCCCCTCAGCTCTTTCTGGGGCTGGTCCTTCTAATCCTTGTCTCTTGACTTAAAAGTCCCTTCACCAGTGGCTCTTTCTGACCTCTCTGCTCAGAGAGTTCCTGGAGAGCACCTTGCTGGCAGGGGTCCTAAACCGCTTTCTCACATTGTGTAGTCTGTGTTTGAGGTCTGACTCCCTCTACCAGGATGCCATCCTCTCAGGTAAGGCACTAGGCTGTGTCCCCAGGGCATGACATGGTGCTTGGTACCTTGCAGGGTGCCTGCTGGGTGGCAGAAAGGAAGAGTTGCTAGGTCAGAGACCTCTAAGGGTCCTCTCTACATGCAGAGAAGACTCTGAGGTTTTACATGCCTGAGCTGCCCATTTATCGTGTGACCAGAGTGGGGACATGTACCGTATGTCTGAGGGAGTCATGTCTTCCTCTAGCCACCCTAGCCCTAGTGCCTATCTATACTTCTTCATTTTGGAGTCCTATGCTCATGGCACAATGACTCCTCTTTCTGTGGCTGTCCTACTCATCATCTCCCAGGTCCCAGACTGACCTCAATTTCTCTAGACTGCCTTCTGGGATCTACCCCAGATAGCTTAACACCTCCCTTGGTGCTTCCCTGCTCATTCCGTCCCTGGCCCCACATATGGTCGTCAGCTGTTCATATGTGGGCCACTCTACTGGCCGTGAGCTCCACAGGAGTGGGGCTGGGTCTAGTTTTCTCTGGGTCTGAGGAAGAAAGAATCTGTGCCCTAAGTCCTCATTGCAAATCATCAGGGGGTAAGGCTTTGGTCTGGATGTCTTCTGGACGCTGGTCTGCTAGGTCCTCCTTCATAGCATATTGGGAGACTTGAGAAAGTCATGAGACCCTCACTGACCTGGCATCTGGAAGCTACCAGCCTCCCCTGGGCTGTACCAGGCTGCAGTTTTCTATCTGCACTGTGATCACATTCCACACCCTGTTGTGCCCAAATGCCTCCCACTGTCAGCTTCACCTCTGTCTGTCTGTCAGCCCCCTCTCTGGCTGCTCCTCAGGCTGGCCATAGCGTGTTTCTGCTCTGCACCTGGCAGGGGAAGCTTATCTATCACCGCTCAATATCTGTGTGGCACTGAGGTTTATTCTGATATTCGTGGCAGGCAGGCACTGCCAATGCCCAGCAGTGAAGTGAGTCAGCCTGCAGTTGCTAATGTCACTCTCTCGTTGGTGAGTCATGGGGTGGCTGTCTCGGCACCTGGGTCCCTTAGGACCAATGCCACCTTCCTGTCCCTCTCTTTCTAACCTGTCTGCATCTTGAGCCTTGGTAGGTCAGGTTGATGGTGCCCAGGGAGATCCCAGCCTCTGCCCCATTCTCTGGTGCCTATTGGCGACTCACCCATGCAATGGCCATTGTCCTGCTGGGAGAATCCTTGTCCGCACTGCAAGGTGGCAGAAGCAGAGACACTTGTGAGTTGAGAGGCCTCACCCTAGGTCCCCTCCTTGTCACAGCCACAGAGCAGCTGTCACTCTGATTATAGCATGAGAGACGCTCTTAGCTTGGGCCTGAGGGCAGCCCCTCCCTCTTATTCTGCCCTGCACTAAGAATAGAGATTGTGTTTGGTGTGGAGAGGGCAAGAATATGCAATTCAGACTCTCCCTATGCTTGAGATCTGTGTACCTGAGATAGACCTGAAACTGGACCAGCACTGGGTGGGCCCCTGAGAGCCTTCTCCAGAACCCTGGTGTATGGTCTGAGCCTCATCCAAGAAGAATAGGAGGTCTCTCCAGGTATTTGGAAAATACTCAAAGGTCAGCAGGAGACTAGGCATCAGTTCTCAACCCACTGTACAGCTCAGGGGGCTATGTAAAGTTAGCTGGCCTTGGTTTCACTCTTTAGGCCTCTGGTTTCCTCCTTTGTAAACTCGTTGCCCTGCAAATCCCCCAGGATTCTGTGAGAAGGTGAAGAGATGTGGGTATGACGCGTAGCAAAACTACGAACGGAGCCACCTTCTGTCATTCTAGAGGGCAAGCCTAGAGATTTACCCCAGGATCATGGGTGGTGGTGCCTTTTTATCTTATTAATTTTTTACTATGAGGCCAGAGGCCTTGGCCCACCTCTAGTGGGGCTGTGTCCTGCAGTTTGTTCTCATCCCGGGGGTAGAGGATCTCCAACACTGAGTTCATCTCCTCGCGGGCCACACTGCGGCTCACCATCTTGCCATCTGGCCATGTCACCTCCACGCTACTGGCTTCATCCTTTCCTGTTGGAGGAAGAAGAGGGTCAGGAGCAGCGGAGAGAGGGCCTCTTGGAGTACTGGCATAAGCATGTTAACACAGATAGCAACTAACGCACCCTTCCGCGGGCTGTGGGAATGAGTAAGATAGATTTGAGGAAGCTCCTCCTTGGGGCTACACTGTCCAATCGACCACTCAGCAATGATGAAAAGGCCTGGTGTCTGCCCTGTCCAGTGCACTAGCCCCTGGTCACATGCAGGAAGAAGAGTGACTGAAGAACTGCATTTAACATTTTCCTTAATTGAAATTAATTTACACCTCGACAGCCACATGGTGCTAGTGGCTACTGTATTGGAGAACTTTTATTCTAGCCAACAGCCCATGCAACAGGAGGTTGAATTTTGGGAGCTGTGAGGCTTGATGGTAAGCAGTCTGACTTCAGAGCCAGGGGTTCAAATCCGGGCTCTGCCACTTGCTTGATATGGGGAGCAGGAGGCTAGGAGTCCTGGGGACAAGTCCTAGCTCTGCAGCCAACTCCCTGTGACCTTCTGAGCATGCCTCTGATATTTCTACTTATGGAGCACTTCTAGGAGTCAAGCCCTTTTTTTGTCACTGGGAATGTCCCCTCATGGGTTTCCCTCTCCATCTAGGAGGCAGGCAATCATATGAACAAGTAAATCATGTCAGATATCGACAAGCTTTGTGACGAAAAGAAATGGAGGACTTTGGGGCAAAGTCCTGAGGGCTGGCCAGGGTCCTGTTCAGTGGCCAGGGACAAACTCCTGGGGAGAAGGCACTTGAGCTGAGCTGTAAATACAGACCCAGGAAAGACAGGGGTAGAGAAAGGCCACTCTGCAGGTCTGAGATGCTTACAAAAGATACCTGTGAAGCTCAGACAACGTCCCTTGTGAATCCATCACTCATACCTCTAGAGCAGCATGCTACATCAATGGCAAAAAAGTGGGTTGGGGAGACTGGTCAAGTCTTCAGCCATTGCCAAAGTATGCTCAGCTCCTGCCTAAACAAACAGGCTAGCCTGTGGCAAGATCTGGCTAATGGTGATGATGTGGGGGTGGGGATTGATCACCCTCACCTGTGGGCCCTTCTCAGGTCAGAAGGGAGGGCGGGCAGTGCTCAGCACACCCAAGGAAGAGCGCAGGGACAGTTGTGGGAGGGACAAGTCAGCGGACAGGACTTGTGCCCACAGCCCTAATCCTCCCATAGATTCCCCTGGCTTGGTCAGCCCAAGCTTCTGTCTAGTCAGAGGCGGCTTCTCAGCAGGCCTGACTGCCACCCTGCACCCCCAACTCTCTCCTAGAGAGAGACTGAAGAGGGCCAAGTATAGATCTTCTGTTTTGAAGCAGAATCGTGAGGCCCACGAATTTGGCGTTTTTAGGGTGTGCAGTGCCCAAATTAAGTGGCACATGTGAAAAGCAAACATTTTTCCATTAAAAAAGGAGACAAAAGCAAGTGTTTCTCACCTATGCCAACAGAACAGCTCCATGAATACATTTCACAGCCTGATTGAAGCCACAAATAACTCAGAGAGTTGAGGAATATTCATAGACTCAAATTTGCAGCCCGCACTGGGGCCTGTGGCTCTAGACCGGGTTCTCTCTCCCTGAATACTAGGGAGGGGCTGTTAGGTGAGTAAGCCATCCTTCCTGGGCCTTGGTTTCTTTGTCTGAAACTTGGGAGTGCAGGCTCAAAGACCGACTGTCTGGGGCAGCACCGCCTCTCTCCCCTGGAGTGAATACGGCCCTATTGAAGACATATTAATCTTGGTGCTTTTGCCAGCACCAGCTCTTAGATAGGTGGCTAGCAAGGCCCAACACTGACAGACCAGACCAGACCACATGCTTCATGGTGTGAACACATCAGTTCCTGACACCTTCATGCAGAAGGTGTTGTCTATACCACCACCTTCATCACTTAGACCTGGAGAGGCCAAGGAAATCGCCTAAGAGCCCTGTGTGATCTGTTTACTGCTCTTGCCTGACTCCATGACCATCACATAGCAAATGCTGGAGGGGATCTGGGACTCAGCATTGAACAAAAAGGACCCAAGCAAGTTGGAGATAGCCGATTGCTTTGAGAATAACGAGCAAGCGCGGAAGGGGTTGTGACGGGATTGTGCCACTCCCTGAGGACCATGGGCTGTTCCATTCAGTGGTAAAGGGAGAATGAATTTGTGATGCAGAGAAGAAATGCGTTCAAAGCAGCTTGCTAAGGACATGGGTGTGGAAGGACAAGTAGTGTTTGAAGAGGCAGAAGTTCAAAGCTGGGGAAGCAGAGTGCATGGGGGTGGGGAGGCCGGAGCCTAGGAATTACCTTTGGAGCCTTGGCGCCTACAAGGCAGGTATTTCATACCCATTCTCTGGATTTAGACACTGAGGCCTGGCAAGGTAAGGAAGTGACTTGGGGACGTCTGAGCTAATGCTGGAACCTAGGCTCGGGTCCTTGGACAGGTAGGAGGATTCTGTGGCTCTAGGCTGCTGGTCAGGGATCTTCCCAAAGCTGTACAACTTCAGGGCCTGTCCCCAGCCTCTGAGGTGAGGCAGCCACACTGCCAGGCCCATGTGCAGGGAGGGGTCTGCAGAGGCACAGGTCAGGAACAGCAGGGGGTTGCCTCTGGCAGCTTGGAAAGGACAAAGGCCAGGGAGCCACATGGCATTGTGCTTCTCGGAATTACAAGCAAAACAGATGGTGCGAATACAGTTGGTGGAATATTTTTGCACTTTAATAAAGCCATTTTTATGTGGGCCACTGAATTTTCTTTCCCTAAATGAGCACCAGCCGGTTTGGAGGCAGCTCTGAGTCACTTACAAACAATTAACTGAAGGGAAGAGGTGTGCGGGTGGGGGCGGGATGGGATCAGTGTGTGGGGTTGGGAGGGCTTCAGTGGGTGACCACGGCAGGGGCACCCCGGGGCCAAGTGGGTTAGCAGTACTTGTTTTTATTTGCTGGGGTTGGCTGTCCACTGCTTCAGCCTACTGGCACTCGGGAAATGCAGCGGCAGCCCCGTGGGGGCTGGGTGGGCAGTATTCAACACCATAAACGGAAAGGTTTATTTATGAAGCCAGCAGGTGGTCTGCACCCAGGAGGGGTAGGGACAAGCCAGGGCAGCCGTGCAGGAACTGCAGAATGTGCTTAAGGTTCCCTGGAGCAAGGGCAGGGTCTGCCGAGGAGGAACAACACCCATAACGCCCTGCAGAGCGGAGTGAGTCCTTAGGGGACCCCTGGAGAACAAGGCTGGGAAAGGTCCCTGAGTTTTTTACTGCCCGGTGCAGCACAGCTCAGGTTTCTAGGGAGCACGGTGAGAATACATGTGAGGCTCGGAGTCTTCTGTCCTTATTGCTGTTGTACAGACCTAGTAAGGCCTGGAGCACTCAGAGAGGCAACGGCAGGCAGGTGTGCCTCGCACGCGCAGGTGGGAGTCTGATGCACTAGGTGTGGACCGGAAGGGCTGCCGGTGTTGTGCGAATGCATACCCGTGTACTCACCTCCGTGTTCACACACCAACACCAGCTCTCCACACCTTGCGGCAACATCAGAGAGAAGCAGCCGGGAGTGATTCATGGTGTGAGGACCACCAGGGAGCAGGGTTGTTTAGGTTGGGCCGGAACCGGAACCGTATGCCAGGAGGGCTTCTTGCAGCCCTCTCCCCTCCAGGTCCAGTCCCTAGACACAGCCTTACCCCTACTCTGCTTCTCAGCCATGCAGAACCCCAGGGCCGGCCTTTCTTGATCTAGACAGCCCCCTTCTCACCTCCAACTGCCCAGAACTGGAACAATCTAGCTGTCCATCAACAGGGGACTTGGTAAATAAATTATGAATGCTGCCACACAGCGAAACACTCTGCGGCGCTGGAGGGAAATAAAAGAGATATGCATAGACTTGGAGAGATGGCCAGACGTTCACTGTTCAGGGGAGGAAAAGAGCTAGTGGAGGAAATGCCATCATTTTTGTTTTGTTTTTTTAAAGAAACAAAGCTAAGTAGTATGTGCATCTATAAATGTGCCCCTGTGTTTACTGCATGGGATAAAGGCTTATTAGAAGCTTGGCCTCATGTTTGAAAAATTCTGCTTGTCCCTTCTCCTCCCCATCCCAACCCCCTTTCTCTGCTTGGCATTTTCTTTCCTTTGTAGCACCTAATACAATCTTAACATGGTCTATTTCACCTATTTATTCTGTTCATTATGTATTCCATGCTTTTCTTCCCACTAGAGTACAGGGGTGCTCAAGGCAAGGCCCTGGATCCAGATACTGTGACCATGAACTGAATTGAAGCAAATGGTGCTGGAGTGACGAGGAGATGTTTGTTTTCTTAACTTAACGTTCCAAGCACTGGGATGGGGTTGTGGGTGATTTCTACTTCTCTTTACAATGTGCTGCATTGTCTCATTTTCCTATAATCAACACGCATTTTTCTCACAATCAAGAGAGATGTTTAAGAACAAGTGCTGCAGGGCTGCTGCCCCTGCACAATCCTCTCACCTCAGTGCTGGCTCTGCCTTCCCTGGACCGGCCGGGACACCCCCTCTGTCCACCATGCCATGTCCAGCCTCCCCTGGAGACCCTGGGGAGCTTGGTTCATGCCCACTTTCCAAGCTCTGTTCCTATACCTCCAACCGACTACTCCCACCACTCTGCCTTGGTTTGAGCTAGCCTGGTCTCTGGAATGCTCTCAGCCTGCCCCTGCTTCTAAGTTCCTACTTTCTTGTTAACTCTCCTCCTACTCTACTCACTTGGCGAAGCTGTCCAGGGCAAGGATGATCTCCCTTGCTCCATCCTCTCCAGGCTCCATGTCAGTGCAGGAGGCATCTGAGATAGACCTGCGTGAAACTTCCTGGGTTTACCCAGCAGACTGGCAGCATTTCTTCCTGTCCCCATGTCTCTGCCTCTCTTGCCATCTGCTCCTGCCCTGCTTCTCTTCCTTTGCTCTTTTTTTTTTTTTTTTGGTTTTTTGAGACAGGGTTCCCCTTTGTATCCTGGCACTCGCTCTGGAGACCAGGCTGGCCTCGAACTCACAGATATCTACCTGCCTCTACCTCTTGAGTGCTGGGATTAAAGGCGTGTGCCACCAATGCCCAGCTCCTTTGCTCTTTTTTTGCTCAGCCATTCCTAACACCTGGTTTCCCCACTGTCTCCTTCTCTGGCTGCTTGCCGGCTCCCCTATCAGTCAGGAAGGACAACTATGTTGAGCTCATAAAGAACCTATGTAGTCCTAAGGGGCCCCAAAGAGGCAGAGATGGAGCTGGCCTGCCTCGATGTCCAGGCTTCTGGTCTGGTCCCTGGATCTGCTCTAATGTCTGAGGGTCACTGGCGGTCTCAGGCAACTAGCAAGGGTCTGTTCCTGAGAGCAGATGTCCTTCTAGAATCCTTCTAGGAAGGGAGCCTTCCAAAAGAGGAGCCTGATAGGGGTATCGTGCCATACCCTTGCAGCAATTTGGTTCAAATCAACAGCACCCCCCCCCCCAGTATTGAGTGCTGGCATCAGGAGGGGCCCCTGCCCAGGTGCAGAGTGTGCACCTTGCTGGCTCCCAAACAATGTATCGCATTAAATGATCCTGCAAGCTGCCTAGCTGAGGAAGCAGGCTCTTCTGGTGGTGACAGATTTTGGCGAGAAAGGACCCAGGGATGCCCCTAATACACAAAATAGCAGACAATCCACAGGATGTGGGGCCAGACAGCCTCAGCCCAGCTCTGCTGGTCTATTCTGGGAGCCTCAGTTTCCTTTTCTGTCCAGTGGAGCAGCGTTGACATCTAGCTTGATAAACATTTTGCCTTTGAAACCACAGCAGCCACCTTGGTGCTTGAATGGCCTTCCTGGATACCCATAAGCTGGGGGGTGAGGGGGAGGGATAGGCACATCAGAAGGAAAGAGGCAGAGAAGTCACAGGAGGTGGAGTCACGGAGCCCAGCAATTCAGTTTCTAAGGAGGGGTCCAAAGCCAGTCCCTCCCACCCTCTGGAGCCGTGAACTGGGTCAGTGTGCTTAAACATAACTTCAGGGTTCTGGCCTGTGAAGTATGGACTATGGTTCATAATTCATTAAGTTCCCAGGAGAACTGATGAAGAATTTAGGCAAAGCCTGCACACTCGGAGCATGCTGTAGGTGTCAGCTACTGTTAGCTTGCAAGCAAGAGGGCTCCATGTTTAAAAGTCAGCTTGTACCTTTAGGGCCTGCAAAGCAAATGGCTGCCCTAGGAGTGACAGATGCCCCAGGCTCAGGCTAACCCAGCTGAGCTCAATAGCAAGGGAATATGCTCATATAACTAGGCCCTGGGTCCCCTAAATATTTATTGCTTCTTTCTCAGACTACATAAATATTATGTGTCCCCTATAAAAACCAGAATGCACACACATATACTAGGACATATGGTAGAAAATACAAACCACATTTTTAGGCTGGCCTGAGTTTGAATCTCAGCTCTGCCATTTGAGAATCATGAACTCATGGGCAGGTTCCCTCGAACATTCGGATCCATAGTTTCTTCATTTGCGAGATGGAAACAACAAAGCCCATCTGAGGGTACTCATGAGAACTGAGTGCCCAGGACAAGTGACAGTCCTTATAGTCATCTAGCCATTCAGATGGAATTGCTTATGCTCTTTGCATTTCCTTTCCTTAGTTTTTTTTTTCCTGTGCAATACGATGTGTGCTTAATATTAATGCTGCTATATATTTATCGATCAGGGAACATATTGTCTAATCTTTTTATATTAAAATTCTATCACGTCATGAGGTTCTAACACACAGGAAAGCATCTGGGTAGAGCAGGGGAATCTTTGACACAAATAACTCCTGGCCCGCCTCTTCCTCAGCGCTCCTCAGTCTTTTCCCATTAATTGTAATCCCTGCATACTCCCTGAAGAATTTTTCACATCTCCCTCTAACCTCCATGTTTTTAAAAAACAGTTTATTTTGAAATAACTGGAGACCTAGCAGGTCGTGAAGATAGCATAGAGGGATTCATGTAGACAGTTGCCCCCGCGGTTATTACTTGCTTCATGATTGCACCACACTGAAATGAGGGCTTTGCCATGGGAACAGGTGTGTGGACAGTTTTAGGTCGTGAATCACACATTACATTCATGTAGCCACTGCCACTGAGACACTCACTGGGCATCACTGTGCAGATTTCCTTTATGGTTTACCTGTCCATCACCACCTCTAACCTGGAACTGCCAATCTTCAGCTCCATGACTTTGTCATTTGGGGAAGGTGAATTTGACGATGAGACTTCTTTACTCACCAAACACCTCTTATTGCCAAATCACACTCTATAGCATCAATGTATCACAGCATATTGAAGCATTAATCTACCAAAGGACATTTGCATTTTTTTCTGTTTTGTTTGTTTGATACAGGGTTTCTCTGTATAGCCCTGGCTGTTCCAGAACTTACTCTGTAGACCAGGCTGGCCTCAGCCTCAGAGATCTACCTGCCTCTGCCCCTGAGTGCTGGGATTGAAGGCATGGGGCACCACTACCCACAATATTTTTTCTTATTTAAAAGAACCCACCAAACAGGCAGGCCAGTGAGATCACTCAGCAGGTAGAGACACTTGCCATGCAAGCCTGGTGACCTGAGTTCAGCCCCTGAGACATGGAACCCACATGAAGGTGGAAGAGACAATTAATGCCACAATAGCTATCCTCTGACCACCACATGCATTAACACCCCCACACACTGATAATAAAGACAGAATTAAAGCTATGATCTACCAAGCCATTTTCAGAATGGGAGCTTACATCCCGTAGCAGTGAGAGAGCCAGCTTCTTTTGAGTCTGGAGGCTGCCCAGCCCTTAGCAGCACACTTTTGGGGCATTCTAAAAGCTGTATAGTAACAGCTCGGTGGAGCCAGGGGCAAGCTGTTGATCTGCTTCTGTGATGTGTACAGGTTGCTGCTTTTAGGCATATGAAAGGGCAGGATTTTTAGAATCCCATCCTCCACCGAGGTCCGGACTTCACCCCTTTGGGGTGACTGTGTGCCCTTTGAAAGCTCAGGGCTCCAACCCTTCCAGCACCTTAAATAACTGAGAGGCCTTGGGGCAGCTGCTCTGGACATATTTGGTGGGGATCAGCGTGTGAACAAGGCTATGGCCTGGGCAGACGGAGACTCTAACTCCAAGTGAACTAAGTCCACAAAGGCCCTAGGGTGGGGGCTCCAGCAGGCAAGGGGCAACCTTTCCCCCATTCCTTTCTCTGGAGCACAGACTCACAGAGAACCCAGGTGGTTGCCTTTACAGAGGGCATCCACTGTGATGCCATACTGAAATTGAATCACACAGCACATGGCAAAACTTATTGCAGAATCTGCTGCTGTTCCCATGGGGCCCGACTTACTTACCCAGGCCAAAATGTGCCACAGGCTCCATCTCACACAGGTAGCCAGAGCCCCCATCAATGATCCGCAGGTGCGCCCCACTCTTCTTGGTGTAGAGTATCACTTTGGCACCCCTGGCGAAGGCCCCAAACCGGGTGCGAGGCACCACACGCAACCAGTTGTTGCTGAAGCCCTGGGGTGGGGGGAGGAAGGTGGCGGGTATCAGCTAGGCTGGCATAGAGCAGGGAGGCAGGAATTCTGGGAGGGAGGAGGAGAGGAAAAGGAAAGGAGAGAAGGAGGAGGAGAGAAGGAGGAGAGGAGGAACAGAAGAGAAGAAGGAGAGGGATGTGGGCAAAGACTGATGCCAGGAGGAGGGGCTAGCCAAACAACTCAGGAGAGAAGTTCGAGGCCAAGAAGTTCCTGTGGCAGAAGGCAGAGGCTGAGCAAGGGATTCTCCTGGAAATGGTCCTTCTGGCTGGGAACTTATGGGCTTCTGGGTCCGAGGCTTTTCATTTCCCATCATGCTGGCTAGCGAGCCCAGGTTCCTGTGCCTTCATGGGTCCCTGAGAGCACACCAGGCTAAGGGCTAAGGGCCCTGAGATTGTGCACACCTGATTTCCCCGGAAGACAGACAGGGGCTGAGCCATGGACTCTCCGTGTGACAAGATGAGGTCCAGCATCCCATCTCCATCGAAGTCGGTCACCACACCCCCTGCAAACAATGCAGATTTCACCTCTAGTCATCAGCCACTAGACTAAGGGGGAGGGGGGCTCCCTGGTGTGGTGATAATAGCCATGAGCATGAAAGGTAAAAAGAGAACAAACAGTGCTGGGGTAGGAACAGGGTTGCAGGTCCACCTCTTTCCTGTCCATCATCCACCTCAATCCCTTCCTTTCCCCGGATCTTCATGGATGGGATTGGTGCAAGTTGCTACCTGACTCTTTCTGTGGTTTAATGATACACCTATTTATTTACATAGTGGTTTTTGTTTTTGTTTTTCAACTTCTTCAGTGTTTACATAGGCCTGGTCTCTTTTTGGTCCTGTTTAAAACCCAAAGAGGTGAGAGAGGCAGACACTCTCATTTTGTGGAAAACAATACCCAGAAAATAAGGTAACTACAGACCTGGGTCCTAGGACTCCCAGGCAACTGCTCTTTGTCTGACACTGAGCTGATTGCCAGAAGGGGAAGGGTCAGATCCAGCATGCCTGCCAGGGGGCAGAGGGGACACATCCCTCAACCTTCCCACCTCTACATAGCAAGGCATGGCCAGAGAAACAGTTGCCTCCCCTGTCAATCCTGCTCCTCTCCCAGCAGGCCTGGGGATGGGAGGAGGGGTGGTCCCCTTCCCTGCCTCCAGCCTGTAGGCCCATGGATCTCTTCCATTCTCACCCCATCCTTGGATCTCAGGGTGGCAGGACCAGGACCGGCTGCCTGATTTCTTGCTCCTCCCTACCCAAGGGTATAGACTGTGCTGAGCTGGGTGGAGCAGCTGCAGCCTTCAGTGCCTTACCTGTACCCCGGCCCTCAGGCTCCAGGGCATCACCAGGATTGAGTTCCTCGATGAGAGGGTCCCCATGCTCCCTGCGGATAACACTGTGGGAAAGACAGACTTGTTTGGCAAGGCCCTGGTGGGCTCCCTAGTCCTACTGGCCCTGTCACTCCTCTCTCCCTCTTGAGTAGCCCCAATATTCTGTGCTCTGATGCCCATGGAATTTCTCTCTGCGCTTAGACTCTGCCTTCACTATGGCAGCTCCCTTCTTGTGTTTTAATTTATGTTGGTAAACATTGATTTTTCTTTCTCTAATAGATGAATTATAGACAGCCTGGGGAGGGCCAGGTGATGGATGGAGAAGGGCAGAGGCACAGCTACCTTCAACTGACCTTCATGCTCCTCCAAAGAGTGCTGGGTTCTACAGCTCTGGACATTGCTCAGGGTTCAACCCTGTGCAGGTTCTCCCTCCTCAGCCCACTCGCCCTCCACTGACTGGCTGTCCAGCTAGAAGCCATCCCTGCTGCCTCTGCTGTCTTTATTGCTCTCTGCCCATGTTAAGTCTGCAGGGTGCATCTTATCTCTCAAGCTGGTCTGTGAGCTTGCTGCTGGCTGAGACCCTGCTATATTCGTCTTTGCTTTTCCCATAGCATCTGATACAGGACCTGACTCCCAAGCCAGCTCCAAGCCCATGTCTGTGGTGAGCTCAAGTGAATTCCAGAGGCAAATAGGAAGGGTCCCTTTGGGTGGTGAGAGTCTTTCTGGGGCAGGAGGAACCTGTACTCCTCTCGCTACCATAAGGCCTGCTCAAACTACACTGTGTCCCGAGAGCTGAGGCCTGTGGCGACTGCTGCAGAAGTTCAGGCACATGCAGGGTTGCATGGATGCCCATGATGCATCCTTCATCCACCCAGGACATCTAGGTTGAGCACATCCATGTGTACATGTGGGTGGCACACAGTGTACCTGGGAAGTGTGTAAGTACACACGGGCATGTGTGTATCTGCTTGTAGACCCACGCTGTCCTTTTGATTATTTGTGTACTACAGGATCTGCTGCAGCTGGGCAGAAGCAAAGGGTGGCAAAGAAAAGAGGAGACTGGTCAGACTGGCATTTCAGCAGGTTGCTATGCTGGACTAGAGACTAGGGGAGGGCTGGAGTGGGCTCAGAAAGCCCCACAAGACCAGAAAGTGGTGCAGGGAGACTTGAGAACAGAGCAGACATAGTTAGACGCATATGCAGAGGCAGTCCACACCCTGCCAGTCCTGGGAGAATCCTTGCTTGCATGGCCATCATGGGCTCCTGTCCCTGGGGCTTGGGTCTGGCTTGGGTGATATGCTGCCTGAAGCATCATTAAAGAACCACGAGGCTTTGGGTCCCCAGTGCCTGGGCAAGTGGCTGGAGAGACAGTTTCAGGAACTGGTCCTTTCAGTGATGGTGACAAGCTGGCAAGCGAGGGTTAAACTTTTAAGCTGCCAGTTGAGCAGTAGTCCCAGCTGCAGCCCCTAAGCTGTGTGCTCAGGACCCAGCCATCTGCCTTGGGGACTTGAGGCCCAGCTGTGTACCTTGACAGTGGCTTCTGTTGCCCCTGAGTGGAAGCTAACACTGCCCCAGGGGGTGACCATGTGGTAACTGTCCACTGACAGCCCAGGGCCAGCCTCTCTTGTGCAGCATGGGAAGCTGGGAGGTTGGAACAGGCTAGGAAGGTGGACAGGCAGAAAGGTACCTGGGCTGTTGGGCCACAGAAGCAGAGCCCTAGACAACTTGCTGCTCAGGGTTCTGCAAGTGACACTTTATTAGCCAGAGAAGGAAGGCAGCATCTCTGTTAACGAGCAATTGATCTTCTGCAATTAATCTAGAAGTTGTGAATAAGCTTTTTGCAAGGCACCTAATTAGTAAATCTGGTGCCTTCGGGGGGTGATTACATCCAGTCAGGATTGATGCTTGGTTAATAATTATATTTTAAAACATGCTTAGTCACAGCTTGTGCCTTTTATTAATAGTTGAGCCCTCCCTGAGAGAGGGAATAGGGACTTGGAGGGCCAAGCAGGTGACCTGACCTATTTCCTGGCTTGAAGACCAACCCAATGTGTCTTAGCAACATCCCAGACTACGTGAGGTTTGTCCTACAGTGCTTTTCAAATGGCTGTGTGGTAAGAATGGCTGTGTGCCTGCTGCTCTTGCTAGGCCTACCAAATGCTGGGCCTCAACCCTTGGGATTTGACTTGGACACCTGAGGTGGGCCCTAAGACTCTACACAAGCCCTTGGAAGATTCCTCCAGTCCCCAGGAGATGTGTCAACCTTAGAAATTGTCCCTTTTTCCTTAGATGCAATGCTCAAGTACTCAAGGACTCTGAGATTTCCTATCCATCCTCTACCTTAACTGTTATGGAATAATATTTTTGTACAATGTGAATATGTCACTCACATTGGTTTAAAAAAAAAGCTGAATGGTCAGTAACTAGGCAAGATTTTTGGGGTAGAGAGGACTCTGGAAAGAAGAAAAACCAGGGTTGCCAGGAGATGCAGAGGAAGCAAGATATGCTGGAGGACAGGTAAAGCCATGGGCCATGTGGCAGCACATTGATTAATAAAAAAATGGGTTAAAAATGGGTTAATTTAAGTTGTAAGAACTAGTTAGTTACTAACAAGCCTAAGCTATGGTGGAGCTTTTATAATTAATAATAAGTCTGTGTCGTTACTGGGGAGTCTGTGGTCCCAATGACAAGGTCCAACTACACTTAACCATCTCTCCCAGTGTTCCCCAAGGATGCTCTACAGAGCATCCTTCCTCTGAGAAACATCCCTGGAAGACGTGTCCTGTGGCTGTATCAATTTGAATACTCCATCCACCTTTTGGGAAGTTGAAATGCTCAGTGATTCTGTTATAGATGCTCAGAAGTCCCCAGTAAACAAGACTGACCCTCTTTGCTTAGCCCAGGTTTACCCAAACGGACCTGACCCTGGAAGCTTTTCTGTGGCTGTGGGAGCGCCACCTTGTGGGGGTGGAGGGATGGGCTATCTGCACCGTGTCCTCCCTACTCATCTTCCAGCCACTGCAAGGGCTGCTGTCTTACTCACGCTCTCCCTCTATCTTGCTTGCTCTCTGTCCTCCCTCCTCTCTCTTTCTTAATCAAGGACCATCCTCCCCCTGGCACAACTTCTCTGACCCTTGGAATCCAGCCCCATGGCCTGGATATGGTACCGGAAGAGACGATTGGCTGCAGAGCTGCGGTAGGCGATGTTGTTGAAGAAGACTTCCAGTTCCTGGTCGTTGTCGAAGTCCGCAACAATGACAGTCCGGACGGGGGAGGGCATAGAGAACTTGGGTGAGGCAATGTCCTGGAGGAGAGAGTACTGGGGGTCAGAAGACAGGACGGTGGCAATGAGCAAGAGCCCATGCTCCTCTACTGTGTGAATATGCAATGAGGAAAGCCCCAGCACCTCTATTATGTCCCCTCAGTTATGACCCGGAGTGGTGACCCTTGGGATTGCACAAACTTCAGACTGCCTGCAGAACAAGGCAGGCAGAGTAACAGCTGCAGCTCATACCAGCTCATGCAGGGAGCTCTGAGCTGGTTCCTAGTCCAGAACATACTTAGCCCTCCTGCCAGTCCCCCGAGCAGCCTGATGTCAGGGTTCCACTTTACAGATGAGAGACCTGAGTTTTGAAGAAGGAGGGTAGGGTGATTGCTAACAATGGGGCCGGAGCCAGAGCTACAGATGGGAGGTTCTGACCCTTCCTTCTCAAGGGCTGAAGGCACTGGAAACCACCTGCTTTTGAATCCAGCCTCCAGCACTGGCTTGACCTTAGGGAGATCACTCAACCCTTGGGCTGGATCTCACTGTGGGGATAGCAGCAGTCTACACTGTGAGGCCTGCGTGCTAGGTGCACATCACAGAGTGGCCAGGAGACCCATCACTGGCAATCTGTGTTGCATCACGTTGTCACCAGCCCCACGCAAAGCCAGACGTACCTTTTAGCTGTGTCTCTCATTGCTCCTACTTCCTCAAACTGTTTCTGGGGAGTCTTAGATTTTATTTGAGATATATGATTTAAAGGAGTATCATTATCATTTATTCTTGCCCAAGACTAATGGGGAAACTTTGGATCTAAGGCAGCCAAGCTGGGAACGCCATTCCCCTCCCCATTCCCCCACCCAAGTGCTGGCAAGTCTTAAGAGAGACTGGCACAGGGTCTTAGGTGTGGGATTTGCCTCTGAAATGGAAGGAGAGCTGTGTAGATGGTCTTTTGTTTCTGAGCAGAATATTCCCATTGTGTGCAGGTTGTCCCTTGAAGACATTCAGTGGCTGTCCAAATCCCACTGCCTAGCTGAAGAGAGATGGAAAGGGCTGAGCTGGTTTTTGGGAGCCCCTGCCCTTGGGCCAGCCCCTGCGCCTGGACCAGGCCCTGCCCTTGGACTGGCCCCTGCCCCTGGACCAGGCCCTGCCCTCCTCTCCTTCTGTAGCCTGCTTTGGAGCCATATGAAAGCTCTTTCTTGGCTCAGCTGCAGAGACACTTGTTCCTGGAGTCAGGAGAGGGTGACAGTCCTCATCAGCACTGTAATGAGGTTGATTAAGAGCCTGGCTGGCTGGTCAGGCTGGGCTGAGCAGGGTCTTCAGAGCTGGGGAACAAGGAGACCTGAGGATCTCTAACTCATTACCGCTCCATCGATCCTGTAAAAATGGAAACTTACACAGCCCCCCTGGGGTTGCCCCTCTGCATGCCTGGGCTTCAAGATAATCTATGTAAAGCTCTTATCAGGGATCCTGGCACGTGGGTGGCATGTGATAAATGGGACATTTGTTATTATTGTTATTGTGCTGTGAGCTCTGTGCAGGGGCCTCAGAAGGCCAGCATGTTCTCTAACCTGGGCACAGGATATCTGGAGCCTTTTTACTATAAAGCATAAAGGTGACACTTTATAGTGGGCCTGTCCTGTGTCTTGTGGGATGTCTGCAGCAACCTTGCTGGCTTTTGTCCTTTCCCAGTCAGGACAATTAAAAATGTTCCAGACATTGTCAAATATTCCGGGGCATAGAGGGCAAAAGCATTTCTTCTGAGTCTGGGCTAGAATGCTGGATAAGGAAGGAACTCAGAACTCCAGGATCAATGTCCTGAGTTCGAGGCAAACATCCTCCTCCAGATGTCTTTGAGTCTCAGCAGGGAAGGGAGCACCAAGACAATTGTGGGCAGGACCTTCACAGTCACACAGACTTTGGGAAACTTGGATAATTATATGCATTCACAAAGCTGGGAATACTATAAGCTTTCAGTTCAGTTCTAATTATTATTATTATTGTTATTATTATTATTATTATTATTATTATTATTCAAGTCCTAAGTACTTCAAGAGTAAGTACTTGGCATCTTCATATCAGCTTCATCAAATCCGTACTCTGTCATCGGCTGAGAAAGTCCCAAACTCAAGCTCATTACTGCCACCCAGCAGCCCTCGGGGAGAATACTTGTCATTACATTATACCCACAGCTCATGGAGGGGGACAAGGGTGTGTGTGTGTGTGTGTGTGTGTGTGTGTGTGTGTGTGTTATCCTATCCTGTATTTGAAGCCAGGGACAACCTGGGAGCTCCCTGGCCTCAATTTCTTTCCCTCCCTCATGCTGCCCTGGACCTCAGTTGGAAGGTCCAGTTAACAGTTACAGGTGGGGTGTCTGGGGAGTGCCAAGAGACAGTAGTTGCCAAAGACTGACTTTCCCTGACAGGGTTCCCGAGGACCGCCTAGATGACTTCTTTTTCTGTGGCCACTTGTTTTCTGCTCTGGGCCCGAGAGCCCGCACATGGCTGAGGCTGGTGTCCTTGCCCCCTGTATGTCACCTTCCTTGGGCCCCTACTCCCAGATCTAGAGAGGCCCAAGGCCTCCTGGACTTATCAGGAGGCCCAAGGCAGGTGCCCATCTCTTATGGTCTGCCTCACCACTGTGCATCCCCTGGTTGTTCTTACCCTAAATCGGACCTTCCCGTGCGCACTCATCTGCAGGTAGAGGCGGTGTGGGCCATTCCAGTTGCCGTAGACTATGTCCACTTTGCCGTCACGGTTGAAGTCTGCCAGGGCCACACCTCGCCCGTGCTGGTGAGGGTCATCTACACCTGAGGAGAGGGAGAGGCAGGAGCTTCAGGTGCCATCCCTTGCATTCACCTCCAGAAACAAGAGAAGTTGATCCCCCTACAGTCCCTGTTCGTCTGGGAAGATGGGGAGCCACAGTTGAATCCAGATGGGGGCAAGAAGTAGCAAAGCCATCTGCTTCCATGCTACCTGGACTCAGCTCAGGGCAGCATGGTCCAGGAGGAGAGTGGTGGGCATTCTGGGGGACCACTTTCCCACCGCTATCATATGGCCGCAGAGAGACATTATATTGATCTCATCCCTCTTGGCTTAACTCTCTCAAAGGTTCACCAGTACATTGGGTCAAGTTTAAATTTCTCAGGGATTGCAGGCTCAGGCTTGCTGTGTCCTTATCCTGTTTTTGCTGTTTTACTGACTCTGTGACTTACAGAGCTCTGGTCACCATAGTCCTTCCATCCCTTAAGTGAACCAAGTTCTTCCTACATTCCGGATCTTTGTTCTAGCTGGTATCTCTTCTCCAGATGCCTCCCTGACCCCTTGGGGAAGCCTTTCATGACTTGGACTTATAAAGTGGCTCACAAAACAAGCCAGGGTCGGGAAAATAAACATTGCATGGTTTTTCCGTTTGTTTTTGTTTGGGGTTGGGGATTTAGCTCAGCAGGAGAACACTTGCCTAGCAAGCATAAGGCCCTGGGTTCAGTCCTCAGCTCTGTGAGTAAAATATAAAATAACAAAAAACCCAAGGTAACTGTTTTGTTTTGTTTTGTTTTGTTTTGTTTTGTTTTGAGACAGGGTTTGTCTCTGTAGCCCTGGATGGTCCTGGAACTCACTCTTAGACCACAGAGATCCACCTGTCTCTGCCTCCTGAGTGTTGGAATTAAAACTGTGCACCACCACCACCCACCTGGCTTCATGCTTTCTTGAATATGTAGACTACAGGTTTAAGCACACACACACACATACACACACACACACACACACACACACACACACACACACACGTGCATGCATGCCCATGTGCACAAAGACACACATACACAAAACCTGATGTAAAAGTTGAAAGAGGTTATGAAGGAAGAGGTCTAGAGGAGCAGAGAGAGGTGAATAAGAAAAGGTAACAGAATATCTGAGAAATGAAAGCAGAAAGCGACAATTTGGAAAGGGAAGATGATGGGGAGGGCAGTATGGAGGTGACTAAGGACAAAGCATAATGGTACATGTATGAAGACGTCACAATTAAACTCATTTCTATGCTAACTAAAAGGATTAATAGAAAAGACAAAAATGCAGCCCTTCCCACCTGCCCTCCTCCTCTTTATAATCTTTTCCTTCCTAGTGCTGGTCTCTGGGGTCTCCTTGCTTGGGGTCTGGTCTCTCTACCTAGCCCTCTCTCCTGAGATCAGCTATGCCCCCATGGCTCCTTTGTGCCGCAGGTCTACCTTGGTGCCTGCGGTTGCATGGCAGCGCTCAGTGAGTACTTGCTGAATGAATGAAGAGACATAAATAATTTGACAGCAGGCAAGCTGGGGATGCTGGTGACAGCAGAGGAAATACAGCAACCATGACAGAGAGCCCACAGTGGGCCTGTGAGAATGGGAAGGGAAGTGCCCTGCCGCCCACCTTCACCATCCACTGAGTAGGGAGAATGGAGTTGGCACAGCCTGGAGACATGGCCCCCTCTTCCTGTGTGCAGAGACAGATCTGCCCACTTCTGGCCCAGGTGCAGAGCTAAGATGACACTTTCAAAGGACAAACAGCTGCAGGTTGCCCTGGGTACAGGGTAGTGGAACAATAAAGCAAAGGTGGTAGGCAGAGACTCCAGGGTGACCCTGGGAATGGAAGTCATGAGAAGGCAGGGGTGGCGGCTCTGAGAACCTAGAAGGTGAGGTGTTCTCATGGAGGAGGGGGGCCGGGGGCTGAGCAGTGATGGCACACAAGGCAGAGACTCAGTGGGAGAGGGTGGGGTTAAAGGGACTGGGGACCGCCCCCAAACCCCAGCGCTGATATTCCATTAATTCTCTGCAAACTCCCTTGCCTAAGCGTCAGGTTGGTGGCCTTCTGAGCTGGCCCATTTCTCTCCTATCTGAGAGGCACCTTGACAAGGAGCTGGTTCCTTTTCTCGGGACTAAGCAGTGCCAGGCTGCATTTCACAGCGGCATCTGTTTGGGTGATGAATGCCCCCTTGACATGTCTTGTTAAACCCCTGCAATCACTTTGACTTTCAATTACGGGCCTCGCACCTTGCATCTCCTCCTGCCTGATACCTTTTCCCACGGCAACCTGTTCGCTCACCTCTGCTTCCATCTCCTTAACACCTTATCAGATTCTCTCAGTTTTTTTTGTGTTACCTTTTCCCTTTCTTTCTGTGATTTCTCAGCAGTGAGACCGGCTGCTGCCAAGTACAGCCCAAGCAGGGGATGGGCGCAGAGGACAGGCGCAGAGGGCCACACCCTATGGCAGGGGAGGAGAGGCACTGGGGCAAGGGTGCAAGGTGACAGGTAACCAGCTGCAGTAGGTGGTGTTTCAGCTGGGGTGGGAGGTCGGAGTCACCCATGTGGAGACTCCTGAGAAGCCAGCCGATGGAGGGGGAGACTCTTGTTTCGGAGAGAAGGGATGAGCTCATGCTTGGGGCTTGGATGCTGCTGTCTGCAGAGCTGGTGGGACCTAAGATCTCTGGGTTCAGATCCTCAGTCGACTCTTGCCTGTGCTCCAAGGAGGAGGTGCACTGAAACTGTCAATCATTCTCAGTGTGGGAAGCGATGGGGACGAGGAAGGGGCTGAAGGGCACACTACATCCACAACCTTTTTATAAAGTATTCATTCTGCCGGGCCAAGAGACGACGGAACAAGGTCCCCGGCCTTGTAGAGCACACTGACCCATTGCTAGGGCAATGTAGGGACCTGAGTGAGAGGTGTATGCCACGGAGGCAACAGGGGCAGGATGTTGAAGGGCACATAGAAGTTCTACAGAGAAGAGGGAGGGCGTCCAGCAAAAGGGATGTACATGCAAAGGTCCCGAGGTTGACAGGAGACAATCACAGGTAGGAAGGGAGTGCTGCTGGAAGCCATGGTGACGGTCTGGTTTACACTTTATCCTGCTCCTCGTTATAGCTGTTTGTGTAGATGTGTGTTCGTACAGTGTTTGCTCCTTTCCTAAACGTGGCGTGGTCTCAGCCTTACTCAGGTCAGCATCCCAAGCTCTTAGCAGTAGCTCGGCACTTAGCAAAGCTTCTTGACATGGTTGTTGGTGGTGTACACCTTTAATCTCAGCACTTGGGAAACAGAAGCAGAGGCAGGCAGATCTCTGAGTTCCAGACCAGCCTGGACTACAGAGTGAGTTCCAGGACAGTTAGGGCTACACAGAGAAACCCAGTCTTGAAAAACCAAACCAAACCAAATCAAAAACAAAACAAAAACCAACCCCAAAACAAAATAAAAACAAAACACTCCCCCCAAAACAACAAAACTCATTTTAACAATGACTGGTCTAATTTGAGGTCCATGTCACGAAAGGCAGACCATACCCAACACTGCCTGGATGACTAGGAACTGGAGGCTGGACAGCCTAGAGACCTAGGGCAGAAAAAATGAATCAAATGATTCTTAATGATATTCTGCTATACTCATAGATTGGTGCCTAGCCCAATTGTCCTCAGAGAGGCTTCCTCCAGTAGCTTATGGAAGCAGATGCAGAGACCCACAGCCAAACATTAGGTGCAGAGAGAACCCAAATTGGAGATCTTCATCGGGTCCCTTGCCGTAGGGAACCCTGCAGAAGAGGGAGGAGGAGAATTGTAAGAGCCAGAGGGGTGAGGACATCAGGAGAACTCAGGGCACAGAATGAACTAATTAGGGCTCATAGGGGCTCATGGAGACTCAATCAGCAATCACTGAGCCTGCAAGGGTCTGCATCAGGTCCTCTGCAAATGTTATGATTGTTAGCTTGATGCTTTTATGGGACTCCTAACAGTGGGACACCCTAGGGGGTGTCTCTGACTCGTTTGCCTGCCCTTGGGACCCCTTGCCATCTACTGGGTTGCCTCATCCAGCCCTGATATGATGGTTTGTGCCTAGTCTTATTGTAACTTGTTGTGCTGAGTTTGGTTAATATCCCTGGGAGGCCTGTTCTTTTCTGATGGTCAGCAGAGGGGTGGTGGGTCTGGGGGAGAGGGGAGGTTGTGGGGAGTGGGAGGGATGGAGGGAGGGGAAACTGATGTCGGGATGTATTGGATGAGAGAAGAATTTAAAAAAAGAATTGTTGTTGGATTAAACTGAATGTTTATGATAAAAGAGGGAGAGGGTAAAGGCACCTACTATCAAGACTGTTGACCTGAATTCGAGTCCCAAGAAGCACATGGTAGAAGGAGAGGACTGGCTTTTGCAAGTTGTTCTCAGACCTCCACTTGAGGGCCGAAGCACACGCACATCCACACATGTGTGCACAGTTAAGTAAAATGTTAAAAAAAAGGAAGATAAATGGGGAGAGACCAAGTTGGGGAGGGAGAGCTTCAGGAATTGTGTTAGGAAACAAAAACAGACTCACAGGCTCATAGGTCATCTGTGGGTACAGGGCATGCCAGGAGCAGGAGCCTCCCTGCCCCGTCAGGAAACACCCCTGTGGCTTGAGGGTAGCAGAGAAACCCAGCGTCCCCCAGGCCCAGGGACCTCGGGGGCACAGGAAAGGTCCGTACTTACTCACCAGCACTAGCTGCAGCATCCACAAAAGTGCCATTGCCTTGGTTGTGGAAGAGGAAGTTGGGTCCATTCTCGTTGTCACAGAAGATGTCTGAAGCACTGTTGCTGAGAATGGGGCCCACGCTGATACCCCGGCCCGCTAGGAGAGGAGGTGCACCCACAGTGAGTGCCTATGCCCAGCCCAGCCCTGCATGGAGGACTGGACTGCTGGGGACCCACGAAAAATTGTTTTAAGGAAACAACCGAAAAAGCCTGAGGGCTATGAACTTTGGGATTTTTCCCTGAGCTAGACCTCGGCTCCCAGTCTTCCTAACTCTGATGGCACCAAGGCCGGAGAGGAGCTGGGTGGGATCACTTTGTGCCAAAAGCTTCATTCCACGTCCCAGGAACGTACAGGGTGTGGTCACCATGCATATCAGATGAATCCAACACCTTCAACCCACGCTACCCCTGTGAGCACGGTCAAGTCACAGGACCCTCAACGGTGAGTCAGTCCCGCTTCAAGCCCCAAATAACGTCAAGACCTATGTGTGTGTGCTGGGGAAGTCAGCTCTGCCTGCAGGCTCTGACAGCCTGTGGCCCCAGGATCCTTATGGGGCTTTGGTGGACACACTAAGCAGTTTGTCCATTGGCAGTGACCTGGCTGAACAGATCACAGTGCAACACATGCTAGGTCATTCTGCAGCTACTACAAGGACTGTGTAGGTCCATAGGTATTGACTTGGAAGAGTGCCTACCATTGTTAAAAAAAAAAAAAAGCAATTTGGCAAGTAACAGCACTGTGTGATCTTACATTTATTAAAGAAAGGTGGGAAAACTCTTGGTACTTCAGAATAGACGTGTGTATAAGCTAGTTTGAGAAAAGTGGAGAAGATCACATTGACAAGGTACAACAGGATGGACCACAGAAAGGAGAGACGGTAGCTGGCCTTTTCTTTGAATGTTCCCCATTGTTTGGCTTGTAGCAACAAGTCTCGTTTTTTGCAGTTTGAGAGGAGAATATGCAATAGTGTGTGTGCATGTGTGTTGTTTGTTTGCTTGTTTTGTTTTTTCTAGACAGGGTTCCCCGTGTAGCCCTGGCTGTCCTGGAACTCGCTCTGCAGACCAGGGTGGCCTAGAACTCACAGAGATCCACCTGCCTCTGCCTCCTGAGTGCTAGGATTAAAGGTGTGTGCCACCACTGCCCAGCTTACATTTTTTAAAAAAGACACAAATCAAGCCAGCACTACATTAGGCTCTGGGGACTAACATCAATTTTGAGCCCCTGATATGAAGAAGTCCAACCTTGATGTATCCTGAACAAAGCATCCCACACCTGAGGGCTTCAAACAGAGCCTTTGCTTGCCCATCCTCTCTAGAAAAGCCCACCTGCATCTGGGAAGCCTCACCAGCCAAGGCCCCTGGATGCTGGGAAACTGTTGATACAGCCCTATAAGTGGATGGAGATTTTTACAAGATGCTGCACTATAGACAACTTGTTACCCAGTGAAGGTCAGTTTCTTCTTCTGTTAAATGGGGATTTTTCTGACTTGCCCTTTTCAGTTTTTATAAAAATCAAATGAATGAGAGATGATGGATTACAAGTGCCTAACAGGAGGAAGTGGAAACTGAATCCCTATACATTCTTGGCGGGAATATAAATTAGTACAATCACAAAACAGTATGGTATACTCTCAGAGAAATAAAAGAAATAGAATTACCATATGACCCGAATTTTTTGCGGCTGGGCATACACCCTCCAAGGGAAATGAAGCCAGTAGGTTTGGGATTTCTGCACTCCTGTGTCTACCCTAGCACTATTCGTGTCAATATGAAACCACCCTAGGTGTCCATCAGAAGACTGAATAAAGGAAATATGGTACGTTTTCACAACGGAATACTATCTGGCTTTACAAAAGAAGAAAGCTTGTCATTGTGGCCACACAGATGAGCCTGGAGGACGACATGCCAAAGGAGATGAGACACATAAGCAGGCTTTCTCTGAGGTGTGAGGTCAGAGAGCCAAGCTACAGAAGAGGGCGTAGAGTGGGGTTACCAGGGTCTGGGTGAAGGGGCCAGATGGGAAAGGGCTGTGACGATGGTGAAAGCTAAGTGTTAAACAGGGGTGCTAAGTCTGAGAGAGAGAGACTATTGTAGAATATGGTGAGCACAGTTAGTAACTACATGCTGCTCTTGCTGGTTAAGATGGTGGGTTGTAAGTGACCTCACCACAAGTGGAAAGCAATGCATGTTAGTTCAGGCCAGCGACCCCACAAGGCATTCATAGTTCAGAACATCAGGTTGTATATGATAAATATGGAGTTTACGGAAGTCTATTTGAAAAAAAAAGTGAGGCAAGAGAGATGGAGGTTTTGTGAAGCCTACAGCTTTGCTGTGCCACCAGGCATGGGGACCAGCTGCCGGGCTTCTCAGAAATGCAAAATCTCAGGCCCTGCTGAGTCTTCATGCTGACAAGACCACTGTGTGGTTTGTGTGCCCACGAAAGGCCGAGGTACATTGTTTCTAAGGAACTAGCTGTTGTGACAAGAGAAAATTGGGGCTGGAGTTTTTAAGTAAATGACAGCTCTGGCAGAACCATGCAATAACAGTCAGGCCCTTGGTCATGGACCCCTGGATGGATCCAGGGGTTTGAAGTGACTGAGCTAACCTGAGAACAAGGATCGCAGGCTCCTGTGGTCCTTCACCCTAGGGGATGCTCCCTGACAAATTACGGAACTTTGTTCCCATAACGACCTTACCACTTGCATTGCACTTGCTGGAACTCTTGCTAATACCTGTTGGATTTTTGTGTCCTGGATTCTTTCTTCCCAAGTAATCAAATTAAGTCTCAAAGGAGAGTCTTGCAAAAATGAGCAACAAAACTCCCATCACCCTTGGGGATCCTCCATGGAGTAAGGTGGTGACTTTCTGGTCACTTTCCACAGCCAGTAGGAAGGATGCTGAGACATTACCTAGGCATCGCCTCTGCCTGCTAAGAAGAGGAGCTGGTAGTGGCTGTCTCTGCCCTGGTCACTGCCGGACTCCAGTCCAGAGGAGGGCTTCCAGGAAATTCCAGGTGGGACTCAGGACTTGCCACCATGCAACTCAGTCCTTCTCTCTCTCTCTGTCATCCTCCAATTTCCTCTCTGCCTCTGGCTCCCAAGCTGTGACACATTCCCTTCATTTTCTACAAAGCAGGTTATTTCCCTTTTGGACAAATTTCTAAATCTTTCTAATTAACTAATTGGGTTGGGTTGAAGCCTTGCACCATTTGTAACCTGTAATTACTAGAAAATTGCCATGGTAACCACACTACTAATTAGCAGCAATTTATTGCCATGGCAACCGGACCATAACAGAGATGTTACCCACAACTCCTTCTTGGCAAGTTGGCCATGCAGTTGGGGAGCAGGTGAGTCCACAGTCAGGGAGCCAGCCTTTTGGGGCTCATCTCCAGAAACCACAGGATAGGGTCCAAACTGAGGTCTAAAATAGGGCAGCCAGGTGCTACACCCCTCACTGATGCCACAAAGGAAACTCTTGAAACCAGCAGAAACCTCCCATCAAAATTGCCCTCCCAATCCTCCTCTTTGCCAGTCAGTGACAAAGGTAGCGGCAGATTTTCTCCCAGGACTCATCTCTCCTCTTCTTCCTGCTTTGTGATACCCACCCTCCCCTCCTTTCCCTAGGTTTAGCATAAACTATACCATACAGGGCTACCCAGAGGGTAGGGTTAGGGACATCTTTGTTTAGTCTTAGAGAATGACATCCTGATGGAGTCAACTCCACCCTTGTCAGTGAATCCTTCACTGTGTGAAGCCAGCACCCTCTCTCACAGACACACAGTTCCCCGGATGAGGCTGTAGTGGTGGAATGCCAGCCCTCAGGACTGGTGATCCGCAAGTCCAAGGTTGAGCTGTGTGACCTTGGGCCTATCATTTAACCTTTCTAGACTTCTGTTTTCTCATCTATGAAATAAACTGGTAATAATAATAGCTCCTTCTCGGGGGTGTCATAAATATTAAGTGGGATGAATTTTGGAAGGTATCTTGGAAAATGTCAGGTGCCACATAGTCATTAGCTGGGACTATTTACCACCTGCTGAGTGAATAATATCACTTTATTTTTGCCCAGCACTTCAAGCTTCAAAGGCCCTTTGTTATGCTGTGGGCTTTAAGTATTCTGTCTCCCTTTCCTTCCCAAGGACATGAGCCACTCTGTCTGTCAGATAGGTTGAGGGTTCCAGCGGTTCCCCACTTCCTCTTGCCACATTTCAGTCTTCTCTGTTTGCTCTGTCTGGACCCGATATCTATGGGAAAGCAGTGGCTTATCTCAATACCTGTACCTCTAGACCTCTGACCCCGGGCACTTTGAAAGTGCAGGCTCCAGTGTGATTCTGGTGCAGGTCCATCCCCCAGCTTTCAGGCACTAGACAGGGAGGGAAGGAAAGCAGAGACTATGGATGGATCACACACTCTAAACTGCTCCAACCATGGGCTGCTGACCTAGAGACGAAGCATCAGACTGGGACCCGGTGTCTGAGGAAGGACCTCTGAATTCTTTCCTAGGCCATTGCCTCTCTCTGGCTCCAGGAACTTTGGAAGGAGACCTCTAGGTATCAGCCCGCTGTACTGCAAAATGTGATGAGAGGACCCTTAAGTTTTTACTTTTCAACAAAAGTATCCTTCAGACTGGCCCAAAGGACAAATATGTTGGAAGCAGTTTCCTGCCCCATATCCTGCTGCAGTGGAGGCTCAGGGGCTCCTCACTGAAAGGGTATGGACCTATGACATTCTCCTGCTGGAATCTAATATCCATAGCCTGCCAAGAACACTCAAGACATTGTAAAAAGAGTTGGTCTAAGATGCTGGAAAATGTGTGAGGCAGAGGGATGGAGGGCTTGAATTGGAGAAGGGAGCAACAGGTAGGATGGTAATGGGGTCCCCCCTTTTTAAGTTTATTTCCTGCAGAATTCCAAATGGAGGTGCTGATGCTGAGTTGGTGCAGGGTGAGCCTACTGCTGCCAGGCAAGTCTGGACTATGAGATTGTGTGGGAGCCTGTACTGTCAGACAAGGACACTCATTCAGCTCAGGTCTCTCCAATCCTTGGTATCTTGTAGGTTTCCAAATGGGCCACTAGAGGCTGTAGGAAGAAGGGCCTTTCTTCCTGTGTCTACCCAGCATCAAGGGGCCAAGCAGATGCTGTGTGAGGCCAGAATTGGTAAAGGACCGAAAGGAAGAGTCTGGTGGCCCTGTCCTGTGTGCTGGGTATGGGCACACACTTCTCACGTTAAGTGTCATGACACCTGGAGGTGTGTCTCATCACCACCACTTCTTAACTGAGAAATAACAAATGGCTTATGTTTATCACATACAACATGTCTTGAAGTACGTACGTATATGTTATGAAACGACTAAAACGAGCTAATTAACATGCATCATCTCAATATTTATTAATTTAATTCTGTGAACACTTAAAATCTATCTTTTGGTGTCATGCAGGAATACAATGTATTGTTATTAACCATGGTCACTGTAGTGTACAGTAGAACTCTTGAACACATTTGTCCAATGTAATGAAAATGTTTATTTTGGCTAATACCTCTTCAATGTTCCCCAGTCCCCTCCACTTTCCAGGTGAGGAAACAGAGGCTTAGTTGGCAGGTGCTGGAGTCCCAACCCAAACCCTCATGCTATCTCCTCAGCTTGCTTCTCTGATACTTCTGCTCATGTCCCCTTTCAACAGGGAGGGCATTCATTGTACTGGCACCTCGGGGGTGGAGCCACTAGTGTCATTTCTTTAAAATCTCTCCAGACAGCTGAGAAAAAAACGCATGTAAAAATTAAAGTTTTAGCCTATCACACATCTATTCCCTTCAAAATAAGGCCAGAGACCTCTGACAGCCACCAAATACATCTGGCATCCCCGGAAAATGGTCCTCCTGTATCCTGAACGTTGGGAACTCCTTTGGATACCCCTCTGGGTCTCCTGGACCTGGATGAGGTACCTGTCACTCTAGCATTGCCTGGTCCTAGCTGCTAGATCTGGCTGAACTACCGCTGGAAGGCTGGCGCCCACCTGGGACCCAGGAAGGCTCCTCATCCCCCATGCGGAGGTACCAGTCATGCTACTGATGGGAGTCTGCCAGAAGGGCTCAGCTGGGCTTTGGGCCTCTCTGTCTCCTCCAATAATGACTTACTATAAATCAGATCTGCCCTCCGCTTTGTTCCACACTGCTCCCAGCCAACAGCAGAACTCTCTACCCAGCATCATAAATCCCCCTTCATTTTCTTTCCAAATTTCCTTTAAGGCTTCTTTAATCACTACCTTGCAGCCTAGGCAGATGCTCTCTCAAAGGGTGAGGCCTGAATTCAGAGGTCCTGGGTAAAGGGTAGCCCCAGGTGAGCCTGTGTACAGAGGAGAGGGTGATGGAAAGCTAGACTCCATTTGCGGAGGGAATGAAGATGCCTATGGGGCGTTGAGGTCTGAAGACACAGCCTTCCCATCTCCAGGACAGGTGGGCTGGCTCTCCCAGCTGAGTCTAGCTTGTGGCTCTCAGGAAATGCCCAGCAGAGGACCCTGGTGCCACTCTGTCAGAGCCACAGGGCAGGTGTGTGTGTGTGTGTGTGTGTGTGTGTGTGTGTGTGTGCGTGTGTGTGTGTGTGTGTGACCATAGGCATTCCCTGTGTTGTTTCGTTCTTCCAAACACAATGAAGGTAGGATCTGTGTTGGGAGAGGCACGGTGCAGGCGGGAGTTTACAAATGACAGCCTACTCCCTTTTAGCCTTTCTGCTAGTTGGCTGGGTCAAGATGCCTGAAGACATTCCACGGGACTTTGCTACTTCTCTGTCCTATGCCAGGTCCTCTGCAGGGTGGAACCCCACTTCTCAGGGTTCCCACACACCTCAGCTCCTAGCATTTCCTGGTCCCAAGAGGTCCCTGGTAATTGGTGAGGTTGGGGCTTGGAGTGTTCAGGGAGTCACAACAAGGGACAGCAGGCTCTCTACTGTCATTACTCAGTCCTGACAGCCCTGGTTCAGATGCCCTCCAGGGGCCCTCAGTCCCCTGAGAGCAGGCATCTCAGCCACTAGATGGCACTGTGACCCAGCAGAGTGGCAGTGGATGCCAGAATCAATAGTGTCTGGAGAGATCTCCCTTCCCCCTCCTGCACAGCATAACAACCTGTGTGTGGTTTGTGTGCCATTGGCCCCCACCACTGCAGCCTGCTGTCCTGAGCACCCCAGGCCAGACAGCTGCTTCAGCCTGACAACCTGGGTACACAATTCAGGGCTTGTCTGCCAATGAATACCCACTGGGTGAGGGGCCTTCCCTTTACCACCTTTGGGGCTGGACACTCAAGTCGGAGGTTATTAGAAAAGCAAGCTGCTGTGGCTGGTGTAAGCATAGGGAGATAGGGCCCCAAGTGCTGGTTTTCTAGAAATCTCCTAAGTGACCTTGGGTGAGTCCTTTCTGCCCTTTGGACCTAATTTGATCCCTTGGCAAGTGGGAGGTCCTCCCAGGCCACATGGCTGCCCAGTTAAATGGGGGCTGCGTGGCTTGGCTACAGAGGCCTCAGTACCCTGAAGCACATCTGGCCACTGCTTGCTTCTCTCCAGCTTGCTTAGACCTTGCTCATCTCCACCCCCCCCCCCCCCCCCCCCCGCAGCTTCTCAGACCCCTTCCACTGTGCTGGAGATGAGCACTGGCTTCTTGCCCAGAGTCTCAGCCACTGGGCTGGGCTCAGCGTAGTCACCCTTACATTTGGGGTTCATTCCTAGGGCTCAAGGGAACACTCAAGAGCTATTTTGCAGCCAGATGTCCATGTGTCATTAACCGAGTGACAAGTGGGGGTTGCAGGATAGTGTTGGGGGGCTGAGGAAGGCGGGCAGACAGAACAGTAACTTGGTGGGCCAAATTGGTTCTTGCCAGCCAAATGGCTTCTGGAAGTCTGCAGAACTGCTCTTATGTGTCCTCTGGGCATGCCAGCTGCCCTGGCCTCCTCCATGCCTCCCCAGAAGCTGCTGCCCCCGCCGTGGGTTGCCCTATCCTTCCAGCATGGCCGGCACAGTTGGCTGGGGCTCTCATCGCATCTCTGTTCCTCAGCTGTCTTTGCTTGGCCCCCTTTCTCCCTCCTGGGTTCTGTGCCAGCCCAGCCAGCATGAACAATGCCCCCTTCATGCTCCAACCTCCTGAATTCTTCCATTCTGTGTGTAATGTACTCTCTCAGTCCTTGCCTCCCTTCCATCTCATCATTTTCAAGTGTTTCATCCCCCAGCCCACACCCCCTCCCTCTCCTGCAAGATCAAGGCACTTAATTGCCAAGCCAGCCCAGTACACAGAACTGGGAGCTTACTCGGAAAAATTGACTGTACCAATCTAGGCTGAAGCACCTCATGTTTATTCTTCTTCCCAGGGCAACATGGTTTATTACTGACACTCAGCCTTCCCGAGGCACGCTCATGCCCAGGGCTCTCAGGCACTTTGATGGGGCTTGAGCCACACAAACTACTTTATTGTGTAGTCATTGTCCCCACAAACTTTGTCAGATAGGTCAGCATTAATCTCTGTCTTTACAGAGGTGGCAACTTGGCTGGGCAAGGGCGCCATCAACTCCCAGCAGGTCAGGACAACCTTTGATGCGTGGAGCTTTGAGATTTGCTACCAGGCAAGTGTCTGGAGGAAGGGTGATGCCCACATGATTCCCCATGCCACTTTCCAATCTCCAAGGCTAGCTACAGCTTGGGTGGTGGCTGTAGTGTAACTTGGAGCAGATGTATGGGGAAGGCTAGCTAACAGGAGAATTTCGACACCCAACTGCTGGGAGGGTGTGAATGAGACCGAGTTGTTATGCACAGCCCTGGCTTCCTGAGTTTTGGCACTAAAAACAGGAACTGGATGGCTCTGCCATCAACAGCCTATTGGCAGATTATCAGAGTTTAGTCGGCAGCCCTGCTGGAATTAGAAAAAACAGCCTTCCCTAGAAAGAGCTCCAGTCAGAAGCTCTGACAATAGGTCCCCCATCCAGAAAGCTGCGGTGGGGAGTACACCTTCCATAAAAAGTGCTGGAGAGGGTTTGGAATGAGAACCCAATTCTTTGAGCTCAGTTATCCGAGACGGGACCCAGCCGAAGCTTAGGGACTTAAGCGGCAAATTCCTGGCCGCTTATGTGTAAGTAAATAATTTCATCTGCTGTTGGGCAATAAAGAAAGCTTTAAATCTCGGTTCTTGTGATCTGTCAGTTTTCTCTAATGCAATCTGCTCACTCATCACTGGGGTTAGAGCAGGGGAGGGGGCGAGAGGTTCCTGGGACAGGATGGCATGGTGTTCTTTTCATTTCAGTTTTTGGCAAGCCTCTATGCCTGCTGTTTGGTGCCCCTACCCCCCCCCAAGCTCACACTTGCCAGCATCTCACCTCCCCTTGGAAGGGCAGCATACGTGGTGGAGGGGATGATGCCTTCATCCCTGCTCAGGGACTATAAACCTTCCCTGTTCTCTTGGTTGCTGATGAACTAGACACAGCTCTGCAGGGCCCTGGACCCCAGCCCCAGCCCCAGCCCCTCCACTCCACAGCCTCTATAAACTCTGCATACCTGTGTACTTGCTGACCCCTGCCTCAGCAGCCACATCCCTGAGTGCCAGGATCCCCCGGGACAGGTCACTGGCCTCAGGGTCCATTTCGATAAGGGCGTCGGGCCCCACGTCACCATGGGCATAGTTGGCAATGTAGATAGAGTACCGTCCGGAGCCCTGAGGAGGAATGGAGGGAGGAGGGTGTGAGAGACCCCGTCTTAGTCCTGGCGGCCCCACCAGTTGTCCCCACCCCAGGGATCACAGCTTTGTCAGTGGGTTGAAGTCTGTGTGGGCTACAACCCCAAGGGGTGCTCACGACAAAGGCTGCAATGTGAGTGGTACACACCTCCCGAGCCAGATGACAAAGCAGCCTTGCTTGTTCTACCCTGTTCCAGAAGAACACATCTCTCCCTCTCCCCCACAGCCACCTTTTTATAGACAATTTTCTAATGTGCCTCCCTCCAGCTGAGCTCGCTCCAGCTGCCAGCCAGGGTAGCTGCTCAATAAATATTTGCTGATTGATTGATCTACCAGTTCCCATTATTCTCCGTCTCTCTCGCTCCCATTCAAGCCGAGATGACAAGCAAATTCCTGAGCCTGCTCCCTCTCCTTGCCGGAAAGGTACAGATCCATGAGGTCTTCCATCCTGTTTCCATTCCTGTCTCCCCACGTTACTAGGAAGAGATAGTTCACTGTTTTGGCCTTTATAACACTACCCCCTTTCTTTTTCTTTGCATCTCAGAGAAGCCCCAGGCACTGGCTTCTCCTTCAGTAGCCATTCTCTTCTGTAGTCCAAACCCCGCTGATAAAAGATTGCTTTCTGCCTGTTATTATAATGGTGTTATTTCTCCGGTGGATGCCTCCTTCTTCCCAAGAGATACACACGGCTTCTAAATCTGTTTCCAGCTCCCCTATTATCTTTTCATCACTTCCCTCTAGAAGTTATTCCTCAAGCTCTCACTATTTACAAAGCCTTCTTCGGTAGATTCTGAACCCCCTGTCCCTGTCCTTAGGTGGCTTAGCATCTAGTGTGGAAGGCCAGCCAGAGAGAGCAGCTGAGCTACAGGTGACAAACTGGGGCTGTCATCCTTGCTGACCTTCTCTGCGCGATTCATTCTCTTATCCTGGGACATAGAGGCATCGTGATCAGGACTATCTGATCGCTCACTTCATGCCAACTTTGGACCATTTTCTTTGGTGGGGGAAGCTGATCCAGAGACACTCAAGAGTGGGTGACTTGGTGAGTGAGATCAGGGAAGGGGCTTAGAGTCTCTGGGGGATACAGAGGTATCGAAACCACATAAGTGCATGGTAGATGCAGGCACAGGGTTTTCTGGCCAGGTTTTCCGCAGCCTGGAGGCAGGAGACTCACTATGAGAACTTCAGAAAAGGTATTCAAAGAGGCGTCCCAGCCAGTGAGGTGGAGGGCAAGAACCTTCCAGGCAGAGATGGAAAATGGTGGCTGCATGGAGAGCTGGCAGCTGGTTCGGTGTTGCCAGAGGTAAAACACAAGGCAGGAAGTGTTAGGTCAATTTGGAGACTGGGAGGCTTCGTTGTCCCTTCTCTTTGGGTTATGAGCCTCAACCTGTTATCTGGCAATAAGGTCCTTTACAGGTTTCATTACTCAAAGTGATTCCTGGACCAGGACCCCCGGTGCCATTTGGGAGCCAGTGTTAGAACGATAGAACCTCAGGGCCCACCCCAGACCTGCTTCACAAGAGTCTGTATTTCAGTAAGAGCCCACAGGACACTTAGGCAAAACGGAAGTGTGGGGTGCTTTACCACCCACTGGTATCTCGATTGGGGAAAACCTTGAAAGGTTCTCACTCTTATCCATCCCAGGAGCTGCATATGTCTATGTGCAGTGATTGGACGAAGCGAGAAAGAAAAGGGCTAAACGGAGACGTGCACCATGGCGAACCATTCCTGACCCCACCAGCTGCTAGCAAGCTCATCAACAAATGGGCAATTAAGCCCACATGGGCTCAAATGCACTCTGCTACAAATTAGAAGATTTATAAAATTCAGTTTTACCTAGATCCCTACTTCAATTCATCTGGATGATGAAACAGATAAAGATAGGCATGTTATAGTGTAGACAGTTGTGGAAACTCGTATGTGAGCTTGACCACAGCACTTCTAAGACACCAAGCTGACACCAAGCATGGGAGGTGTTTCTGGATGCTGGGTCTACACCAGGGCACAGGAGGTGTTTCTGGGGCTCTGGGTCTACACTAGGGCACAGGAAGTATTTATGGATGCTGATCCAGAGCTAACATCAGCTAACATCACCCAGAGGGCTTTTGCCACAGACTCTGGGCCCCATTCCCAGAGATTCTGACTCAAGAGGTCTGGAACGGGCCTGGAGGATGTGCACGTCTAACAGACATCCAGGTGATGCGGAGGCTGTAGTTCAATGGAACAGTGGTCACCTAGCGGGAATGAGATCCTGGGTTCAAAGCCCAGTAGTTCCAGGAAAAGAGAGAGGGAGATTCCCAGGCTATGTTGCTGTTGCTGACTAGTGACTCCAGATTCTAAAAAGCACCAGTTAGAAGCTATTAGCCCAGTCCTGCTCTAGCCTTAGGCCCTGAATGACTCTCCAGCCTTGGGCACATCCATCGGGGGCTGCAGGCTGCATCTTGTGTGTGCTAAATGGGGATAAGATTCCCCCTGCTTCGTGACAGGATGCTTGGGAAGATAAAATGAGACAACGTATGTGAAAGATCTTTGAAAAGATAAAAATGCTATATAAACATGAGGCATAATCATTATTGACCAGGGGATGCTTCTCGTGAGAGATCAACTTTGAGCTCAATGCAGGAAGGGAGTCTGTGATGAGGCAGCTGGAGATAAAGGGCAGGAGGATGCTCCAGGTTTGGAGGAGAGCACAAGTAAGGACATACTCACTTCAGCACACGCCACACCCTCCTGTAGGTCCCCTGAACTGAACCATGTCTCTGGGCCTTATCCCCGGCATTTCTGATTGAGCTGGTCTGGAGGATAGAGCAGGCAGGGCCTGATCATGCTAGTGGATGCACAGAGCCCAGAGGAGGAGGTTGTGTGCCCTGTTCTATCATCTCCACCGTATTCTCCTGGGACAGCTAGGTTGGCGGCTGGCAAGCCCCACAGATATTCCTGTCTCTAGCTAGCCCCACAGCATCGGGATTACAAGTACTTGTAGAATCATGCCTGGCTTTTTACATGGTTTCTGGGGATTTGAACTCAGGTCCTTATGCTTTTGCAGCAAGCACTCTTGCCTGCCAAGTAATCTCCTCAGCCTCTGAATCTTCCTTCCTAACAATAGTCTGGGACCACACTTTCAGAACCACTGGCCCGAAAGACCAACCTCCCCCCCCCATGGGGGCTGTGGCGACAAGCAAGCAAAGATGGCTTGAGTGGCGCTTGCAGAAAGCCTGTGGTTAGAAGCGCCTGTCTATTACCACTGTACCCAGAGGCAGGGTAGCCGAGCGATGAAGCGGTGTGTGCTGTTTTCGGGCAGGGAGAGTTCAATTCCCAGTTGTGCCTGCCTCGTATTGTGTGACCAAGGTCAAGTTATTTAATTGCTCCAAGCCTTCATTTCCATATCTGTAAAGGGTGATAATGGTAGCTTGTACCTCATGGGCTTATTGTAAAGATTCTAGAAGGAGAGTCCTGTGCCTGGGACTCCATGCATGGTTAGTTGTGCAAGCGTGTGCTACTTTTGTCTTTTGTCCTTTGCCATTGTTCTTAGGTTTTCTATGCCACACTGCATCCCTGACTTCCAGTTTCCATACTGACCTTGAACTCTCTTGGCTCATTCCTCACAGTTCTTAGGCCCTAGGAATGGCCAAGGTGGTGGCTGGAAGGACCTTTCCCCTGGTGGTGACTCACTGAAAGGCTTTTCCCCCCAGTTCTCCAAGACCTGGGAGGAGGGAGTGAGGCCAGGCAGGGAGCAAGCAGCTGCTGAGCATCACCCACTGTGCGGAGGTGATGGTCCCTTTCCCTTTGCCTCCTACACGACTTTTGTCCTGCGGTTAAATGACCTTGCTGGGACAAAGAGAGCAGCTCTGTGTTTGACCTCCAGTCCCTCCCTCCAGCTCTGGCGGAACTTCTTACTTAGGCCAGTATGGGAGGCTTAGTCCTGATCAGAGAGGCCATGGGAAGCAGGCGGTGTGTGAACAAGATCCCCAGCTGCGACCAGACCTGACACCCAAGACCCTCCACGCTCTCAGGGCTGTTCAGACCCGCCTCACTGTCCCCTCCCACCAGGCAGGAGTCCAGGTGGCATGGATTCAGGTCAGGGCTAAATGTGGCTTTCACAGCCCAGCTTGGCTTCTCTTCCCAGCACCAGCTTGTTAAGAAATAAATATTTATACCTGGCACCTGCCTTCTCCCAAGGCCTGGAGGCCCCTGCTGCGAACATTCACACTGAATCCCCAATCCTTCTGTGCCATCTCAATCCGAAGTTGGAGCCCACCCCTTCAGCCCCAGAACTGAGGCCAGAGATGCTCTACAGAGCAGGGCAGCAGCTGGGACTCCAGTGTGGTGATTACTGTTATAGAGCCAAGCAGGTGGGCGGCAGGGGAGCAGGTGACAGGAGGGACAAATCACTTCCTCACAAGTCTCTGTCCCTAGCTCTCCCCACTTCTATGAACTGAAGTCAAGCTTCCTCATGCTTGGGCTGGACACCTCTGGGCAGGATGTACTAGGAAGGTATGGATGGAATCATTGATGAACTAAGGTTCTAGAACATTCAGGTAACCCCGTCTTGACCACTTTTGCACTCCCCTGTCACACCTTCAGTATTCTATAAATATGTACAGGAGGCCACGTAACTTGGTTCCTTCCTCACCAAGGCATTTAATGTTAGTTGGATGAAGCGAGTACCCCATGTATTACTGGACTTTGCTTCATGTCCTAGACATGTCACTGATCTATTTTGGGTCCCCAGCTAAGCCATTGCTCCAAGCTGAGCCTCAGCCCTCCCCTAAGAATCTGATATTCATGATGGTGACGCCCTCATTGCTTCCACTTGGGTCACCGGGAGGATTGCACAGGAAAAGGATGGGAACGATATATTTTCACTCCCCCTTCAAGCCTTGCTTCTTAGTAATTTGCATCTATTCTGTGTGGGACATTGGCAGCTACCAAGGTGGGACAGCCCTGGGCTCTGTCCCCAAAGTGGTTGTCACTTTTGCACAGAGGATGTCTACCTGATACATCCTCTCCTGGCTCTCAAGTCAAGGGGTCCCTCTGCTTCTTCCCAGGCCCTCTGTGTCTGCACTCACCGTCCTGTCCACACAGGCCACCGAGCGTCCAGCAAAGAGGCTGGCCACTCCACGGGCCACATTGACGTCATCACTTAGAACATCTTCCCACCGGTTATTACGGAACTTGAACAACTTGTCTGTGTACGTGGCCACACCTGGAGAGAGGAAGAAAGGATGGTGGGTGACAGTGGGCAGGGACTAGGAGTCTGCCACAAGGTGTCTGGGGCCAGAGTCAAGGAGGTCAGATTCAAGGAGGCTGTCTGCAGGCTGTCCTTTCTGCTTCCCATTGTGAACTTGATTCTGGCTGACGCCAGGAAAGAGGCTCAGGCTGGGGGAAGACAGCGAGGAGCAGTGATTATAAGCCTAAGGTTTAGAATCCGTGAGAAAAAGTTCCAATATCAGTTAGACCTAGATTCCAGACTTCGGGCAGGTTTCTCAGCATCGGTAAGCCTTGTTTTTCTTATCTGTAAATGGGGATGACAGGAACCACATTCAAGCTTGCTATGAGGAATGAAGGAGAGGAAACACTGGGCACAATGTCCCCTAAAGGTAGCCTGTATTAGGTAGAAATGACTTCCCCATTTTAAAGACCAGCTGCCTTCCCAGATCCACACTTCACAGGCTTGGTAGTCAGTGATGCTGGGAGTGTGGATGTAAAAGCAAGTGTGTCAGAGTGAGTGTGTGAATCACTGCAAGCATAAGAATGGGTAAGTGTGCAAGACAGGTGTACAAGTGAGAATGGATGTGAGCGTGTTTGGTGGAGCTCTGCCTCACCCTCCCCCAATCCTGCCTAATCTCAGAAAGCCCAAGAAATGGTGGCTCCTCCCCTGGAGATGACCCGAACATGCCTGCAGGGTATTTAGACAGCTTCTTAAGGAAAGGCCTTGTGGTTTTCTGGTTCCTTCTCCTCGTCTCCTCTGTGTGGGCTGGGAGACCATCCAGGAGCTTTCCACGCATTAAAAGTCCACCTGGACTTTTAAGTCTGAATTCGGCTGGGTTTGGTTGGCTGAGTCGGCGGAGAGGCTTAATGTCGGGTACAGAAACCTGTCAGAGTGAGTGAGTATGAGTGAAAGTGGGTGTTCAGGATGAGTTTGATCAGTGTGGAGGTGAGTGTGTGAGTGTGCCCAGGAGCGAGTATGCACTGGCGGGAGGCTGAGAATGCATGTGTGAGAACACAGACAAGTGTATGCGGGTGTGTGATGGAGTGTAGACGCATGTGTGAATGCCTGCAGGTGGCAACACCGTGTACACAACCCGCCAGGTGGCTCCCTCAGAAGAACACCCACGTGAGGAATGTGAGGAGCAGGGAGGCTGACTAGCAGGCGTGCAGGCGTTTTCAGGTGGAGGACCTGAGGAGTCACAGGTGCAGATCTGCACAAAGCTGCTGTGCCTTTTGAGGGACACTGTGGTGTGTGTGTGTGTGCACGTGTGCGTTTGTGTAGTCGGAGGTTCTGGAAGGTATCTTATCCTTTTCAGACCTCACTTTCCTCATCTGAGAATGACAGGTAGTAACTGTCTTCACTCACAGTGTCACTGTGGCAACTGTGAGAAGTCACACATGTGGTCTAGTCACAGGTCAGACAGGATGAGAGCGCACAGTGACAGCTTTATACCCTGCAGGGACATAGCCCCTCACTGAAATCCCTTGGGGGCCCAATGTGTTTAGGAACCTAGATTTTTCCTTCATCTTCTAGGAAGAAAACATGGTACGAACACCGTTGATTTACATAACACCCCAGCAGGGACTGGGGGCGGCACCCCATAATTAAACACATTAATATTTCTGCTGTGAAACATGAATATTCACATTAAGTGGGATAAATAAAGCTTATAAATAGCTCACATCAGTTCAGGACAGGTTTTGTTATCTAGCGAATTTTCCAAAAACTTAAAAAAAAAAAAAAGTGTTGGAGGCTTCCAGAGTGTTCTGGATTTCAGATCTGTGGAAAATGACTTAGGTTGTAGCTGCCATCCTTGTGGCTATGTGATGCAGTAGCAAGCTTGCCATTGGTTCTAGATGCCCAGAGGCCTCTGAAGATGGCCCCTGAAGGCCTCCAGCCTTCCCCAACAGAGAGCAACCCTTGTCCATCTCATTCACATGGGGGCCCACTTAACTCTCTTACCCACTTCTTGAAATGACAGCAAATACAGTCAACAAAACTTGGGCAGACAGACAACTCTGTTTTCTTTCTGTGAGCAGCCTGGAGCAAGAATTTCATGGTCCTCCAAGTGTGGGAAAGATTGCATACCTGCCTAACCTTTGAAGCCTCTCAATAGATATCGACTTATTAAAACTTTGAAAAGATTGCAATTTAATTTTATTGAGCCCAGCCTCTCCCAGATGTACTTGGCCATGGAACCCTTCTTTGGAGACTGCCCATTCACTGAACTGGCTCTGGCTTAGCAAGCTGCCATCTAGGGTGCTGAAGTCTAAGCAGACTTGGGGATGGTGGCCAAGGAGTTTGTGGGTCTTGTTTTGTTGGTCCGTCCCTCTCACTGGTCTCATGGCTTCTGGGCTCACCAGAGACACCCAGAAGAATAAACTAATTAAGGTAAAATGTGCAACAGTGATGTGGAGCCTTGTAGATCATAAATGGGAAAGGCAAAATCAATGGCAGCCCCTCTGCAGGCAGAGGCCTGGAGGCCTGGGCGACAGGAGGGTTGGGAGCCCGTGATTTAGGAAGAACAAACGCGCTGGCAGCTGCAACCTGGGTAATTAGGTGTGTCAGGAAGACAGATAAACAGCAAGCTGTGTGGGTCGATGGCATAGGCAATAAACACCCAGCACTGGCCCCTGGCCCAAGTCAGTGCTGAAGTGGGCCTTGCCTCCCGGCTCCTTGTAGCTGCACTTTGCCTCAGGATCCCACACCAATGGGCCAGTTCTCAGAAAGAGGAGGGGCTGTCAGTAGCATGGGAAGACCAAAGATGCTCTCCCCAGTCCCAGGAAAAGGGTGTGGCCAGGAAAAGGATGTCCAGGGGCAGGGAGGGGGTCCGTGGAGGGCAGTGTCCTAGAGGTGAGTCTTCGAACTCTTAGGCACAAAGGTTACCACGAAACAGCTGTGTGACAGCCAGCAACATCCCTTTGTGGGAAGGCATGTACTTGTCCTTCTCTTAGCTGTGAAATGGGATAATGAGAATGGCTACCTCCCTACCAGGCTGTTAGGAGCATATGCTAGCTAATGCCTGCAAAGTGCTTCCAATAATACCAGACACAGGATAATAAGTCCATAAACAATAAGATCATCTCTGTCCACTGCTTCCCCTTTCTCCAGGGAATTATAGGGCAAGACCAGGCCAGTCCTCAACAAACCACATCCCAGGAGGCAACCGTGACATTAAGTTTCAAATGGCTCACAAGACTTAGTCAATGGAGAGCCAACAGAGCAGTGGTGGCCCCAGGGGCGAGAGAACTAGTTCAGACAAAGGATGTGTTTAAAAAGAATGAACTCTGGCTCACAGGGTCCCTGGTAGAATCCCTGACCTTTTCTTCCTCCCTCTACCCCAGGGTGAAGAGGGAAACTCGGAAGGCTCCTCTGCCAGTGCCCTTAGCTTCCTCCAGAATCTCCCCAATAAGATGCAGGCTGCACAGACAAATGGGGACTCAGGTATCACCTCCTTTGCTTGCAGCTGCACAGCTGCTGTCAGATGGCAATGTCTAGTTCCAAACTGTCATGATGTGGCATGGCCCTCTCATTCAGTGTTACAAGGCTATTGGGGAAGCTCTGGGTCCTTAGGTAAGGCCACCGTGATGAACTAGTATTCCTGTGTGCTTGTGTGTGTATGGTGCATGAGTAAGTCAGAGGACAATTTGGGTATCATCCCTCAGGAGCTGTCCACCTTGTTTTTGTTTTCCCTGTGAGACAGGGTCTCTTTCTGGCCTGGGGCATGCCTAGTGGCTAGTCTATCTGGCCAGTGAGCCCCAGGGATCCGCTTGTCTCTACCTTCTGGTGTGCTACAGCACCTGACTTATTTATGTGGATTCTGGGGATTGAATGCAGAAACACTCTCCTGATTAATCTCCCCAGTTCCCAAATTTTGTTTTCGAAAACATGGTCTCATATAGCCCAGGCAATCCTCAAAATTCACTATGTAGCTAAGGATGATTCTAAACTCCTGATCTTGCCTCTGCCTCCTCAGTGCTGAGACCATAGATGTGTGTCACAGCACCTGGCTTTTTTCCTTACTCTACGGTGCCTCTCTCCACTCATGCTGCTTGCTCATTGGCCACATGGGATGAGGCACAGTACGGGCTGGCCAGGCAGTGTACAGTTTCTGAACTCATCTTTGAAATGGGGCCAAGCTGGGACAGCTGAGAGCCAGGACTCTGAATCCAAGGGAAAGTCAGCTGGGGATCCAGAGAATCCATTTCAGGGCCTGAGAAAAGGGTGGAGACTCAGAAATCAATGGGATGGCTTATGTTAAAGTACATCTCGGGCTTTCTGGGGCACAGGAAACTCCTGGAGATTGCAGTGGGTCCTGGGCTAGCAGGTGCAGGGTGAAGCTCGAGAGAACCTTCATTTTTTCTGGGTTTCCAGCTGACTCCAAAGCTGCCAGCCCAGCATCACACCAGGGGAGCTTGGTGCAGGGAAGGCCCCTGGGTGCAGCTGGAGCCAGCCTGGCTGAAGGAGCTGCTGGGCAAGGGCAAGTCTCTAGAGAGCAGATGGCCCATCTGCTGTGTGGGCAGAGGAGGCTGGAAGTGCAGCCTGCCCAGATCCTTTTCCTTCTGTCTAGTGTGGCAACTGATACCTTGTGTCCTCCCTGGGAGGTTATGAGTGTCCCTGCAAAAGGCCCCTCTAGGTGTGACAGAGCCCACGAGCTGCAAAGGAAGAGTCAGAAATCTGAGTCTGTAAAAGTAAAAGTTTTCTACATGACAAAATCCACTATGAGCAAAGACGGACGATGACAAACTGGGGAAATCAACTGTAACGCGTGTCTCAGACAAAGGGCTAATTTTCCTAATTTATAAAGAGGTGCTCCAAATCAATAAGAAAAAGACCAATAGTCAATAGGAAAAAAAATTGGCAAAGGCTAGGAGAGGATGAGAGAGTCAAATATATAAAAATATTCTTAGCCTCACTCATTTAAGAAAAATGAAAATTAAAACTACACCTGGAAATCAATTTTCCCCTATCAGATTGGCAAATACTGAAAACAAAATTGATGAAACCCTGTGCTGGTAAGCCTTGGCAAGTGTTTGTTCATTGCAGGAGCAGTGTGGTAAGTGCTGCCCCCAGGGAAGGCAATCTGGCACTCTGAGCTACATGTGTGCCTTCCTTGACACCGTCACTGTTTCTGTAAGCTTATCTTACCAGTGTCCGTGCAATTACGGCACGAGGAGGATTTTACAAACTCATTCATTAGGTGACATTCTTGGTAAGAAGAAAAGAATTGCCAGCTATCTCAGTGCTCCCCCACAGAGGAGTGACTCGGTTAATGACAAATCTATACGGAGGAGTACTATACAGCCGTAAAAGAATGTGAGGTCCTTCTGTCTGTTGCTGTGAGGTCATATCCAAAGTGTAATGAAAATGCAAACCGCAGAACTGTGATCAGGGCCTACAACAGGGGAGGCCTATGAAGCAGAGCTGGGGTTTAATAGAGACACCCCAAAACATGGCTGTGAACTTTTTGAAGAGGACTCACAGAAAGTGGGGGCCAGTGTGGGACCCTCCAGGGAGCTTCTCCAGGAACACAGACTGCAATAGTGCCCTGCACACAAAAGTCCAGTGCTCATCACTGAGTGGGTGAAAAGAAATAAGTGCTGTGCTCACAGTTGGTGCTGAGCTACCTACCAGCACGCTATCCATCAGGCCCAGGTGGTAAAGTGGCCAAGGCGGCTCAGGGTGGGAACTCCATGGGGAGGAATGTGCCCAAGAACTGCAGGAGGTCCTGGGCTGCCTCTTGTCCCCTCCTTGTCCTGTGGAAGCACTCTGGCTGGCCTTTTTCCAGGTCAGTTTAGCACACATGGGTTTCCAGGTTGTGGCCTTCTTGGGAGTGTAGTTAGCCCTCCTCTTCTCTTCTTTCCTCTGCAATTCTCAAGCTTTGAGCCAAGCCCAGTTGGGACCCCCCACCTGCCATAGCATCACCCTTGCTGTCTGGCAAATTGCAGTGCAAGCCAAGTTCTTTTCATCCTTTATGCCAGTTGTCCACTCAAAGAGTCTGTATTTGATGCTAAGCGACAGGCACCACTTGGGGTTCTGGAGTGCGACAGCGAGTAAGACAAAGTAGGAGAGCTGGACAGAGCTAACATATGACCCACTTCCAGATCGGGGTGAGAGGCAGGAAGACAAATAAGCCAGATAGAGAAATTAGGGCATAATTTGAAATAAGGTGCTGAGAGAGACCTTATTTGAAGAGGGAGCCCTGGGAAAATCAGCAGAAAAAAGCATTCCAGGTGGGAAGAATAGCAAGTTTGAACTTCAGGCAAACTTTAAGTGGGAGGAAGGTGCAAAGGCTAGCCTAGCAATTTGGCTGCACCGGGAAGGGTGGCAGGTGACAGGAAGGACCTTGAATATGGTCTGTAGAGCCACTGGAGGCAGGAGAGTTTATAAGCTCCATATGCTTCCTGTTCTACAGAGGGGTCAAGATCTTGTCTAAGGTCACCCAGGAAAGTTTGCATGGACTGACTCCCAGAGGGTATTGCAGGGACAGCTTCCAGGGACAGCATTGCTAACATCCCAAAAGCTGGCTGAGGGGGAGACACTGTCAACACCCCAAAGGCCATGTGACTTCACTGGCTAGCTAAGGCTCCTAGAGAAGGTCTCAGAATTGCCACAGAGGGCAGGGTGGCAATGGCTGAGTGCTGTCTGGGCTGGACCCAAGGAAGTGCTGACATGGCACAAGCTGGCTCCATGCCCACCCCCTGTTGAATCAATGGATCGCTCAACTACAAAATTAACTCAAACCCACAGACATCCCTCAAACCCACAGAAGGTCATCGGGAGGTGCACACTCGGGGCCGAGGCCGCTGGGCACTGTTGTCCTTGCCTCTGCCCCTCCAGGTGGCCTGGGGCCTGTTTCCTAGAGCCAGGTCTTCGGGGCTTCCGTGTGGTCTGCGTCCCCCTGACATCTCTTTTAGCTTTCCTCTTCTTAGGTGGTGGCTTGCTCACCTTTCCTTCCCCAGACTTATTTATTCAATTTTAATTAAGCCCCTGGGATAGTAAAGACCTGTCTGGGGCCACCAGGAGTCACACAGTAACCAATATAGGGGCTTTCTCTCATGGGCCTTAGAGATTAGGGACTGGGAGAGGATGCTGGATGCTGAGAGAAGCTGTGGGCTATACTGGAAAAGCATAGATCCCAAGAAAAAGGACTCCTGTGTTCCACACTCTAAGGCATCCTCAGTGCCTACAATAGTGCTGGCACATAGTAGGTTGTCACTAGCAATTTGTTCAGGAAACAAGCACATCAATGGGGACACTCACTGTTTGGCTGAACACAGACTTGGCAGGATTCCCAGAGAGTGACCATCGTCTTGGGCTGCAGTGCAGACTTGAGAGTTGAGTGTCACAGTCTGATAATGGGGTCCTACCCTACTTCCAGCCTTCTTATTTGATTGTGGCAGCTCAGCGGAGGCTATCACACCCTCCCCAGGAAACTGCAGAGCTCCTGCTCTGGGATTCACAGTGGGCACTAGAAGAGCACTGGAGGGGCTCTGCCTCGAGAGATGGCCCTAGGGTCTCCTCCAGGTGCTATGGCTTTGGGGACACTGTCCCCTTCTCTGGCATCCTGCCGGTAGGGTCCAAGCAGGAGAGTCATCCCTGTTCCTGCTTCCTAGCCTTCCAGGGGACCTGTCCCTTCTGCAGGCATCCTAGACTCTGCTCTTTTCCTGACCTTGCCCCACATTAAAGAGTTGATCAGCCCATCAATTAATCGTGCCCTAATCCAATCTCGGCTTGGTGGAGAGAGGGCAGTAAATCCAGCTGGGTAATCATGCCCTGATATTTGTGTTGGGATAATTACCATCTCTCAGGCCTCACTCGGTGGCAAGATGAGATGAAAACCCATAAAACACCACTCGGGGCTGTGGCTCATTGTTTCTTGGCGGCACAAGATTGGCTACCAGCCAGCTAGCCCGCCCACCCCAGCCCCTGGCACAGGGCCCCAACCTTTTTACCTCTCATTCATGCAACTGGCTGAATTCAAATTCCAGGGGCAGACTGGGCTGAACGCTAGATTGAGACTGGCAGCTGGGGGAAGCCTGTGTGTGTTGGTGTGGGGTGTTGTGGGACAGGGTCCCGTAGCTAGGCACTTTGTAGTCTCCCAGACCTTGGGGAACTCAGGACAGCCCTTGTTTGTGGAAATCTGAACCACAAATTAGACCAAGAGTCCGCTGCCATCTGGAAGGGTCCTGTGCATACCCAACACCACCTCCAGGGGGCGCTGTGGTGGAGGATGAGCTACAGATGTTACCTAAACAGTCCTACAGGAGTGGGCTTACTAGTGAGTACTGTTTAGGTCTGAGAAAATGTGGGTCAGGGGTAGGGGTGATCTTCAGCCCCAAGAATACAGTCCGAGTTCTGAGCTGCTGCGTGTCCACTGTAGCCAGGCTCCTTGGGGACAGAGTGTTGAGAAGAGCTGTAGCATGTCTTGATGCAAGGGATAGGTTGGGTGGGACCCTGGGTTTGAACCCTGGGACTTGAAGGCTGCCATGTTTGGGTGAGTGAGCTAACTCCTTAGCATCCAGTTTCTTCAATGTAAAACTACTAATTCCTTCCCAAGTGGAGTGCTGTGGGCTGCCTGAACTAAAGCCTGAGGGTAGGGGGTCAGGCCTGGAACACAGAAGGCATGCTTTATATTAGCCACCACTAGGCTGGTGGACATCAGTTTCTCTGTGGTCTCTGGACCATCTGCAGCCGGTAGCCCAGGAGCAGTTAGGCGCCTCCCCAGGACCAAGGAGCTGGAATGCACTAGCATAGACCCTCAGGTAGCAGGGATGTGCGTGGCAGTGTGAAAGGAGATGGAGGAGGCTCCGAGAACTCAAGGTCAGCCTTCTGAGAGTTGCATCCCCATCACCACCCTGACACCTGAGGCTCTGTCTGGCGCATAGGAATCTGTGGGAGAAATCCTTGCACTAGTCTAAAAGCGGAGGAGGCAAATCCTAGGACTGCAAAGCATTTGAGAAAGGCCTAGAGTGGCATGGGAATGACCCAGGGACATCTGTTGATTTCAGAAGTGGCCTAGGGGAGTGGCCATCAGCTGGAGGACCATGTTGGAGTGGTGGGATGGCAGGAGGATGGAGAGGAGGAGGGAGGAGGGACGGGAGGGAGGTATCTCAGGCTGTAGGAGAAAAGGATGTCCAGTCTGAGGGGGAAGATGGTCGTTTTCATGCCCCTCTGCCCCTGTCCAGGGTCCCAAGGATGAAAATCCAAGCTCCATCACAGGAGATAAAAAGGTCATCCTGGGGCGTCTGCCCAGCACAGGGAGATCCTGAGAAAGGGCTGTCAGAGAATGGAAGAGGTAGTTGGGGCAGAAAGAGTACTGACAACCTGACCCTCACCTGAGAAGGCGTTATTGGTGTTGAGAAAGTAGATCTCTTCACGGCCGTCCCCATCGATGTCACAGGCTGTGACCCCAATGGCGTTCCCCTGCCGGTCCCTCAGTGCGTAGTAGGGTGAGCTGCGCTCATCCACGGCAATGTTCACTAGTCGCTTCTGGGCTCGATTGTACTTCAAAACCAGGTTGGGACCATTGTACCTGGAGAAGGAACAGGGAGAGGATTTGAGGGTGAGCGGTGGGTCCACTCAGCTCACTGGAGCACGGCAATGGGCTCAAAGCCCACTGCACCTCAGAGTAATGTGGCCCCAGGCATGCACAGGAAGGAGCTTTGTCTCAGGGAGTCCTGGATCAGAGAGAAACTGAGGCTAGAGAAAAGTGGCTAAGAGCCATGTAGAATACAACTCAAGGAGCAGGCTGGTTGAGGGGAGTCAGTTCAGGGACAACCCCTGAACTAAGGGCCTGGCTGAAGAAAGACCTCCCTGACATTTACTTTGTCCATTTCAATGTAAAAGGCAATTTCCCACTGATGGCTTATTAACTTAGACAACAACCTGACCTATAACAAAAACCCACGTAGGACTGGCATGGGAGGCCATGTTGCCAGTCACCCACTTCATGGCAGAGAAGTAGATGAGGACTGTCAGAGGAATTGCAACGCAGAGAGCCTGGCTGTGCTTCCTGAGGGCAAACAGTATCAGGTTTGCCTGATCAGCAAGGGTGCTTGAGCCCAGGCATCTTTCTGCTCTCTCAGGAGCACCTGCAAGCGGTCCCTGCAGAAGCCTGTGTCACTGAGAGTTGAGACAACTGTCTGCTCGTAGGAAACACCGCTCTACAGCATCCGGATGAGAGACTACCAACGCATCTGGGGATTACCAGGCAAACCTGACGAATCTTTTTCCAGGGAATCAGGACAAAAGTCGAAACTACCCATCCCCTCTGAACCCAGGCGGCCTCCTTGTCACACCAAAGCCCCAGACATGAGTCTGTTTTAGGGACTTTGTCTTGCTGTACCCTCCCTGTGGGATGCTGGTCTTGACAGTCATGCAACTGGCTCCCTTCCCCACTTCCTTTAAGACCTTCTTGAATCTGTGCCTCAACCCACTTTTTCTTTCTCCATTGTCCCCATCTAGCCCCAAAGCTCTACCAGTCTGTCTTCTTGTTCCTCTTCCCCTGCTCTCTCTGCTTCCACTGGAACCCTGGCTCCCCCAGAGTGGAACCTTTCCTCCATGTTGCGCTCTGGTACCTAGAACAGCACCTGGCACACAGTAGGTGCTAGGTAAATATTTATTGAGTGAAACCTCTGAGCTCACACCCAAATCCTGTGGGCTCAAGTGGCCCATAGTCAGTGTCTTCCCATCAATGTTTCCAACTGGAGAAATTGAGGGTACCCAAGATTTTCCCAGGCAGCATGGCCAAGCATGATGCCACCTGCCCCCAGAACAGTGAGTGGCCTGTCAGGATCTCCAGAGAAATCCACATACCGTGTTCACCAGGACCTGCCGGCTGACTGGTGTTTGCAGTTGAGTGCTCTCACCACGAGGGAAGTGCTGTGCTGGCTTAGATGACCCAGGGAGGACAGACAGATCACCTAGGTCTTTGGGAGAAATCTCTTAGTACTGAAACAGATCCAATCTGGCCTTCTCCTTTGTCACCAGAAGCCAGTGAAGTCTGGGGGATGCTGGTGGCTGGCCAAGAGCCTTCTGGCACCCACAGAGTGAAAGGGGAGATGGAGCTCACGGGGGGCTGAGTCAGCGTCCGGTGATGGGAGGGTGCGCCTTGGATACCTTGATGAAGGGTGTCTGAGAGCTGAGCATCAAGGGCGCAATGCTACCTTTAAAGACACGGCAGGGTAGCAGAGACAGAGTACTTGAATTCCAGCACCGTCAGCAGCTGGCTGCAACCCCCAGGGATGTGACTTTTGAGTGTTAAATTCTAGTCCTGAAAATCCCGGGCTGTCTGCTCTTCTATCACACTGTGCCAGGCCATTGTGCTCATCAGGTGTTGGCCTCACTAAGAGCACTGTTGTTCATTGTCTTGCTCGAGCCCCATACAACCCAGAGTGAAAAGGGTGGGGCATGTTTCTGAAAAAGAAACTAAGGGTCAGAGAGGCCAAGTGGGGTCCAAGGTCACACAACCTGTAAGTAGCCACTGGGCTTCTCTCTTCAGGACAGGAATTCTAGGCCCTTTCCCTGCTACCTGTGATGCCACCGCTCAGTCTTGTGTGTGTGTGTATGTGTTTATTTCTTTGGTAGTTTCCCCAAAGTTGTGGCTCTGAGGAACGTACATGAACTTGGCATAAATGGTGGAGGTGACAGACATTGTAATAGGGCTTTATGTAGCTTGCAAAGTGCTTTCTGCTCTGTGATCTCTGCTTCATAGAGGTCCCATCTGGGCTGTAGTTAGGGTAGTGGCTTGGTCTCTAGACTCTGCTATTCTCTTCTGTAGGATGGAAACGGAGCAAATGAAGAAACCACGAGTGTGGCCCTAGGGGCGTGCATCTGGACCTGCCCTCCCACATTAAACCAGAACATTTCTGTGTCTGTGCTTTCTATCTATTGCTTTGCCTTACCAAATCTGGTGAGCCGGGATGGGATAGCCTGGGCCCACAGGGTCTGACTAAGCTTACAAGATGGGCAAAGCCTGTGTCCTTCTCCCAGTATGTGGTAGGGGAGGCTCCACATAATGTCCAGCCCTGATCCCATCTTTACCTGCTGCCTCTTGGGTATCCCAGATGTTTGCTGTGCCCTGGAACCACCCAGCAGGAGGGGAGGGAACATGTCCTCCCCACATGTTGCATCTCGGTGGCTGGTGTGGGTACAAGCTCCCTGACCCTATGAAGTGGCCCTTGCATGTCCCTTCTTGGGAGATCACGGGGTGCTAGTCTCAGGGTGCTGTTTATGGGGATGAGGGGAGGAGTAGACAGGCTGGGTCAGTCTTAATTGGTCACACAGCACATGCCGAGGGACCTTCCCAAACCTGCAGGGGCATGGTAAGAGGTCTGGGAGTCTGGTCACACCTCCCCAGGGATTATGGACATGAAGTCTGTTCTGAGGTGGGGTTCAGAACACTCTCAGGACAAGGCTGTGTTGGGGCAGTGCTCCCAGCGGCCAGCCTTTCCCTCCATCAGGCCACCCTGGGCTGGCCTTATAGCACCAACAGCTGTTGTCCCCAGGCCCCCCCCCCTGGAAAAAATCCCCCGCCCTTCTTCTCCAGAGAGCTGTTGTTACAGCTTGCTTCCTCAGCAGCCCCGGAAGATGTACTGCCCTTTCTGGCTGCGCCTGAGTCTTTGTTCAGCTGCAGCCACTTGCTCCATGGGGAATGTTCTCCCCACCCTCCCGGCCCCTTCCTGTGAGGAGTCTACCCCACCTGCCAGACTAGATGTGACCTTCTCTCTTCCAGATACCCTGCAGTGTCTTGCCTTGGCTCGCTCTGGAGAGGGCAGAGGTGTCTGTTGCCCATCCCTCCCTCGTGAAGTGTGTACTGCTGGAGTCCACACGGCCTAGAGAAGGTGCTCACAGACAGAACACAGGGATAAGGGTTGGGGGAGAGGGTGTGTGTGTGTGTGTGTGTGTGTGTGTGTGTGTGTGTGTGTGTGTGTGTAGGGTGGAAGGGTATGTGTGTGGAGTGAGCATATGTTTAAGTGAGAGTATGTTTGTTGGTTAGGGTGTGAAGGTATGTGTATACAGAGGTGCGGGTATGAGAGTATGTGCAGGGATGAGGGGGTGAGGGATAGGATGGGAGGTAAGGCAGGCAGGAACCTATCAAAGCTTTCCAGGGCAGCCGTCAGAGAGTAGTTTTCATTTGCAAATGCTGAGCCAAGCACTTTTAAGTCCTGCTTCATCTTTATGATAACCCCGGGCTGCGGGTCCTATTAGCAACCCCATTTTATGGATGTGAACAGAGGTGAAGTGACTTACCCACAGTCCCTCTGTGTTAGTCTCCACCCTGAGGAGTCTTGTGCTTCCTTTCTCTGACACTTGATGGTGAGAACTGGGTGTTTGTAGAAGTCCAAGGGGTTTTGAAGCACAGCTAAATGGAGCCAGGCTGGGCAGCTATGGCATCTAATATCAATGGGTGTGCCAGCCATGCTTAGACCAACACAGCCTTGGGGGCGCATTCTGACTCTGACCTTGAGCTTGACACTCAGTTCCTCTAAATTTTCAGCCTCCTCATCTGTAACTCCATGCTACTCACACCTCAAAGGACAGCCTTGAGGAGTGTCAGGGTGTGTGTGACAACACTTGGTAAACTGTGAATTGTTACACAATTGTAAGCTCACATCATTTAAAAAAAAATCACAACAAACCCGAGGCGGGACCTTTCACTCCTGAGTGATCAAGTAGCTGGTTTCTAAGCACGCTACTATTTCTCATTCCCAGACAGCCCACCCTTGGTTGTTCTGCCTTTGTAGGTAGATTTCTTCATTGATTCCCCAGATAGCCAAATTTCTCAAAAGAGCTGTCTTTATAAGTGGTCTCCACTTTCCCATCATGCATTTCATCTTCCCATCCAGCCTTGGTCCATAAAGCTGCTCTAGTCACTCGTGGCTCTCACGTGGCCCAATAGAGGGAGGCCCTGTCTGTTCTTACTACCTGTGGCCTCTTGATGTGAGTTACACGGTGGTCACCACCTCCCTGCCCCACCACTGCCCTCCACTGTCCCATAGGTCAGCCCCCTCATGGCCGTTATGCCCTGTCTTAGCTTTTCTCTCCAGATTCCTCTCCTTTCCCCCCACTGTTGGGTACCTTTTCCTGTTCCTACCCTGATTGCTGGAGTCTCCAGCCCTGGCCTTCAGTTCTCTTGTCTTCTCTCTCTCCTTTTACTAGCTGATCATATCCATCCCCATGACTGACAACCCCTAAATTCATATCTCCAGCTCAGGCTCAGACTGCCTACCCGACATGTGCCCGAGATGGAACTATTGATTGTTCCATCTCTCCCTCCCCTAAATGGGCACTCAGACACGAAAACCAGGAGCCTGGCATTAGCCTCAGAACTTCCCCCTTTGTCTTGCCATCTAATCCATCAGCCTATCTTGTTGTTTCTCAGCTTTATTCTTTCCTTTCCACCCAACAGATTGCCACCATCCCTGGGGTGTCTGTTTCCTCACTTGCTCCGCTGATCTGACCTCCTCTACCATAGTCAGAGGCATCTTTTAAATATGTAAGTCAGATCCTGCTGGCTACCTCCCTGAAACT